GATATTTTGGGATTGGCTCTCATATTGAATATCGATTTAGATTGAACATATGAGATTGAAATTAAGTCGAAGGAAAATTTTTTGCTTAATTATATAATGTTTTTTTTTTACCTTCTTTCTTTTTTAATTGACCTCTTTCATTTGAATATAACTTTTGTTTTGAAAGATTTAATTTTTTGTCAATCAAAATATATAAACAATTATTATTGTTATATTTAAAAAAATAGAAGTTTTTATAGTGAAAAATAAGAAACTAAATTTACTGATAATTAAATTCTAAAAAAAAATGATAAAACGAATTTTTTTTGTTAGTAACAAAAATATTGGAATTTTTCTTTATACTTTGAAATCAACAATTTTTCTTGATCGTTCTTTTTATATGCGATGTTATTTCTAGATTTCACATCAAATTTTCCAAAAATTGAGATTAAATTTTTATTGCCTTTTTTTTGGTGAAGTTGATATATTGTAGTTCAGGTCATAGATAGTGATTGATAAAATCTAATTTTTTTTTTGTTCTCGTTTATTTTGGAGAAAATATAGTTGATTGTTTTTTATTTCAAGGAGAATTTAATTTTTTTTTTTCTAGAAACACTTTACTATCTTGTTAGATTAGATTTAGTTTTTGATTTGTTTCCTCTCGTTATTTATAAATTGTTACGTTACAAAGAATTTTTTTTGTGTGTTTTTTTTTTTAAATATACTTATGATAAAAAGGAAAAATCGAAAATAAAAAAAATTGGTTTATTTTTATTTTTTCTTTTTTTCGAGGGTAATATATTTTGGAAACAGAATATCGAATTTGGATTTTGTTTATTTATACATATAGGTTGGAATTTAAGTGGATTAAGCTACACGAAAGTGCCGCAAGCAGTTCTAGCGATTACACTTTACGACGCGATATGTGTTAAGGATGGTAGGAGGGTGAGGAGGGGGAAGGGATAGGGGGGGGGTTGAGGGATAGAATGAGCGGATTTAGTCGGCAGGTTCGACAATATCTGTTTCGGCTTCGTGTATATAGAAACATGTCGACACCTGTGTCTCTCTATGTTGGGCTTTTCAGCCTCTCTGAAGCGAGCTTGCAAATGTATCGATTGGAAAATGCTTTTGAGTGTGAATCGGATTTAAGGGACCGATCGACATATATAGTCTCAGTTTATTGTCAAAGTTCTACTTCATAGTTGAGTTACAATTGTTCTCATTTTGTATATATATGTATACAATTTCACTATGGATAATTTGAATTGTTCTATATCTTTAAGAAAAATTATAGTCAAAATTATTAATTTTCTCAGTATTGAAAAACAATTTTTAAAAATCTATTTTTGTGTTGTTTTTTTTTTTAATATTTGATAAGAGTTTGAAAAAAAAGAAAAATATCTATTGGTCAAAAAATTGAAATTTTTTTTTTTTTTAAATTTTATGAAAAAGATATTGTTTACAAAATTTTATGCCATTGAAAATTTCAACTTTTGTCATCTAGTTGACTTGGCAATCAGAAATTTCAGCTCGTTGGCTATTTTATTCGCAACGCTTTTGTTTTTCAGTGATTCTCTCTCTCTCTCATAAAATTGATATCATTTAATCACTTTTATTCTATAACTTTTGTTTTTCACAATTTATTTGGTCTAAATTTTTACTGATTGATTAAATTTTGATTAAATGACATATATTTTTGGGAAAATATTTTTATGATTTTAAAATATTTTTCAATAGTATTACCCTTAAACTATATTTTTTATTCTGAAAATTACAGAACATAATTATTATACTCTAATTACACATTTTTGCCCGAGGCTTAACTCTGTGCGAACATATAAATGAAATTGATTTCACGACCATCGAGATGATTATGACCCTAGTCATTAAAAAAAAAAAAAAAAAAAGAAAAAGGGAGAGACGCATTAATATATAGGTTAGTGGAGCATCAGATCACACCAAGTAATTTCACCTAATGGAACATTTTGATTCTTGTACCAGGCCCTCTTGAATGTATCGAAGTTAATTAATTTAAATCACCAGCTGATTCTCCCAAAATACTTGATAAAAAAATTTTAATTAATTTTTAAATTAATTTGTTTTTTATTGTATACCTGGATAATTTTTTTTATTACAACCAAATATATTTTGGATAAATATATTTGTGAATAAAAATTTTGTTTTTAATTTTTATCTTCGGTTCATAATATATCCGAGTACTTTTTAAAAGTAAACCCTTTGAATGCTTGTTATCAGTTTCTTTTTTTCTTATATATATCGAAACTTTCAACTCGAATATTACGAGGTCTGGGGTTGACTTTACTTTGTAAAGAGGAAAATGAGGTCGCTCCCAAAATCCATTGAACTAAGCCGTGTCGTGTCCTCTTTTTTTTTTTTTTTTACTATATAACAGCGCAATGAAGAGAGATCCTTGATGAAACTATTTTTCTGATAATAATGGAAAAAAAAGTTGACCAGAGCTTATCAACTTTTATAATTTTTTGCCCCTTCGATAACTATATGACAAATAGAAAGAAAAAAAAATAATTGCTCTCTGGCAATTTTTCATTTTCATTGGAATTAATTTTTGGATTACAGTTTTTCATTATATTCCTTCTCTGTCTCTGTAACAAGTTTTCAAATTATTAATTTTCTCCTCAGGATCACTGATACAAAAATTCCAGGAATTTTTCATTATATTGCAGATTATTCAGTTTTAATCTAAATAATAAAAAAAAAAACGAGGTAACTAATTTTTTATTGAAAAATTTTATTAATAAAGTTTGTGTATTTGAAAATGAAATTAAAAAAATATATATACTTTTTCTCAAGTGTATTTTATTTTTTTAATATAATAAAAATTTTAAAAACATTAATTAAAAATTAGTAAATGTTGACGATTTTTTACTTATTAATTTTTTAGTTTGAAAAGTAAATTTTGTTTTTTTAAAAAATTAGTGTAATTTTTTTGTGTATAATTATCTTTGCAAGTCATGTAATGGAAAAATTCTTTACCTAGAAGTAATAACAATTTGTATAGTGAGCCAATAATTTACACTTTTCTTTCACCGCTGTCGTTGAGGATGAGCTTCTTTTCTGTAATTAGCAGACACTTTTCTGGAATTTGTTCGTTAGAAAATTATTTTGTTAATAGGTCCACTTTTTTTTCTTTATTATTTTTAAGTTTCACTGTTCTTGGAATATTGTTAATATTCATTTAAGCAGTATCTCAATTTTGCTTTTTCCTGAATATAAAATATCAGATTTTGAAATATATGGAACGAATGAAAATTCTCCAAATAATATATATTTGCTGAAATTTTCATTTTAACATAAAAATCCATTGAATATAAACGAATTTGCTTTTAACCTAATTTTGTTTAGTTTTTGATCTATTTTTTATTTAAACAAATATTTTATTGTTATATAGAAAAAAACATAAAAAAATTTAGATAAACTGTTTTGTAGCAATTTTGCGTCTTTAAAAATAAATGTGTCAATTTTGGTAGAAATATTTAAATTAACTTGAATTACTTTTTTTTTTTTTTTTATCGAACATCTTTTTTTTGTATTGAATTTGTTTATTGAGACGTACGATTTGATCATCCAGAAAATTTCTCCGTGAAACGTTGATTATATTTAAGTCAAGTAAATGAAGGGTTAATTGCGCGTTTGCTAAATCTAGTTTTAACGAACCATGTCTTCCTTTAGGGCAAATTAGAAAATTCAAGTTCTCGAAAAGTCAAGTAAATAATTTCCTATATTTACAATATAATTCAACAAAAGAACCAGTAAAAAAAAAAAATTAATTTATTATTTCAAAAAAGAAATGGAAATAAAATTTTGAAGTTTTTATTTTCTATATAACTTTTAATGGTTACTCTATTCTGATCGATATTTAATTTATCCTGGTGGTCATGTTCACGGCTTGGGATAAAAAAAAGTCGAAGCTTTTCTTCCACCTCGGTCTCTATATTCACGTATATATAGGCTTTTTATCCTCCTTTTTGCCTCGTTTTTCTCTTTTTATCATATCTTTTCTCTTTTTCGATATTTGAAATTTTCTGTATGCGCTTAATATTTCTTCCTTTTCTGTATATTTTCTCCATTCATTGAGGCGACGAGAGGGTATTTTCTATTTTTTTTTTTTTTCAATGAATGTGTGAAAACTCATAAATCTAACGACGAGTCATTAAGTGAAAAACTTGACGCATTTGATGTGCGGTTAAAAAAAAAATCTTTAAGAATTATTCAGAGAAGATTTTTATGTTGAATTTTAATAGTTAAATATGTAAAAACTTTTTTATATGTGTTTGCAGTTTGTTCTTGGCTTTTAAGTACACATTGAATTTTCAAGTTTTCAAGAAGAAGAAGAAGATTATTAAAATCTGAATCTTGAAGTAGATTTTTAATATTTTTAAATCTCGGTTTTTTTTTACCTTTTTTTACTTTTTAATTTTTAATTATTCTTGGAGAAGGTAGAGCAAAAGAGAGTTTTCGATTAATTTTCTTCTTTTTTGTTGATAAAAATTTTATGTGACATTATTAATTAGAAACATTGAGTGCGAATATTTATTGGCAAATATTTTTTTTTTTTCCCCTCTATACTATTAATAATGGTGAGGTATTAATATGTCTTCTTAGATAAACCAAATGCGACTGATATTTTGGTGACAGTTAGGTGTTTACAAGGAAAATAAAACTAATATTTCTTCAGGATCAATGTATAGATTATATACATGTATATTTTTCTCTTCCTGTTATACTGATTGATTGGTGAAGATAAATTAAATTCAGGTCTGATTTTGTATCTCCCCCTTATCATCATCACTGTCTTTTCGTTTAGCTAAGATTATTGACTACTCATTTGACAAAAAAAAAAAAAAATTTCCCTTCTACAATATTTTATGAATTTTTTTCCTCTTCGATGAAATCCGATAAAAAAAAAGTTTTATCTGGTTAGTAATGAAAAAAAAAAATTTTCTCAAATTCTTATCATTTTTTTTTTTAAGAGCATTTTTTATTTCAACTTCGAAAAGAGATTCTGGTTAAAGAAGTTTTTTTTAATTTCTCTAGTTTAAAAGAAAATGAAATATAGAAAAAAATTTAATTGTCTGCAAAAAAAAAAAATGGTAATCTATTTTCTTCGCGTGTGTGACTCATTGTTCACAAAAGGAATTTAATGAATGAGAATATGACTTAATTGCATTATAATTTTGAAATAATTGACGGCGAACTTGATGTATAATTTAAGAGTAAAAGGTTGTCAAATTATAAAGAGTTTTACGATTTTGCGATTAGAATTGATTATTCATTCAGTCATTGTTGCTTTGAGTACCTAAAATGTTAGACGTGCGTAGAATTTCATTTCTGGGGACTCCGTGTTTCTTGGCTTATGGTAATATAATTTATCCTTAGCTTTTTTATTTCCCAAAAAAAATGGAGAATTTTTTGTTATATAATTTTTCTAAATCTTGGTTTTAAATTTAATTAAATAATTAATCGTTTAATAATAATTAATTTATTATTATTTTGTAAGTTATTATTATTGCGTAGTTGAAATTTTGAATTTTTTGACAGCATCTTCCTTGTTTATTGGATGTTGCATGATATGGGGTATTTTGGAATGGAAAAGAACACAAGTTATTCAAGATATTGTAAGATTTTCCTTTAAAATAACTTGAGAAATTAATTATTAAATTTTACGAAAGTTTTTACTTGGAAAGAAAAAAAAGGCTTGTGTAAAATTTAATAATAATTCTTTTTAAATTTCAAATTTTTCTATTAATTTATTTTTTCAGAGTGACTCGGAAAATTTACTAAAAGAAAACGATATTTTTCGTAAAATTCGTCAAACAATTCAACATTCTCCATTATTTTATGATAATATCAGATATAAAAGAAATGTTAGCGAAAGTACTTCAAGTCAAATGGCAGAAAATGTTTCAGAAAATAAAAGTAGTTTTGTTACGAATACAAGTTTGAGAGATGAAAATAATATAAATATTTCAATGATAAAAAATGAATCTGTATTAAATTTAGAAAGTGAAATCAATTTAAGAAGTGGAAGTAGTTTAGATGATGAAATGAATAAAAAAAATTCAACTGTTGAAGGTAGTTTAAAAAATGTTGATAGTTTAGGAAATAAAAATAATAGTCTAGAGGATAAAAGTAATTTAGGAAGCAAAAGGATTTTAGTTGATGAAAGTAGTTTAGAGAGTGGAAATAGTCGAGTAAATGTTCCATCAGGTGTGAGTGATTCAGGAGGTACAAGTACTTCATCAAAAGAGAGTGAAAGTAATTCCGGAGGTTTAAATTCTCCATCAGATGATAGTGACTCGAATGTTAAGGATTCACAAGATGGACATAATTTGAATCCTAAAAGCAATTTGAAAACCGAAAGTGTCCGTGACGAAAGTATATTGCAAAACGGAAATTTATCATCAAAAAATGAAAGTTCAACAAATAATGAAAGTTCAACAAATGAAGAAAGTTCAACAAATGAAGAAAGTTCAACAAATAAAGAAAGTTTAATAAATAATGAAAATTTAACAAAAAACGAAAATGTAACAAAAAATATGTCAACAATTTCAGAAAATGACAATATTCCAAATGCTAAAAAGATTTTAAATTCTGAAACTAATGTAGAAACTGAAAGTACATTAAGCAATGAAAGTACAAAGGAAAATGATGATAATAATAATAATAATCTACGAATTATAAATACTTTATCAAAGGATTTTGAGAATATAACTGATTTAAAATATGATAAAGAAGAAGAAAATCCGATAAAATACAAAAATGACAGGACAATGATAAATGATTATTTAAAAATGAAACAATTTCTTGATAATCATAAGGATTTTGTTTTCAAAAGTCTCGCTAATGTAATTGATTTTGAAATGAAGAAACAACATATTTTGGATGATATGAAGGAATTATTTCAAAATAATTTCAATAAGAAAAAAAATAAACGTGGAGTGATCGAAGAGTTGAGGGATAAGATAAATGAAGTACTGATAGGTGATGAAATGAAGAATGATATTAGGGAAGCTCTCGCTGAATTGGTGAAAACATTCGGAGGTGATGATGAATCAAATTCAAAAGTAAAATTCGATACTGAATGATTGAAATTTAATGATGTAAAATATTATATTTCATTTTTATATCATATCTCAATATAGTTGAAAATCCATTGCAATATTGTGTTACAAATTAAATTCTGTTAACAATTAAATATAATACAGATAATTTGGTTCTCAATTTCCAATTTAGGATCAAAATTACAAATTTCACAAATTAACTGTTTAGCAGTTTTTTCTTTTATAAAAATTATTTATGAAATTAAAATGTAAATGAAAAAAAAAAAAAAATCAAATAAAAATTAGTGGCATTGATTTTTATTGAGAGAAAAAATGATTGACAATAATGTTGGACGTATTTAGCTCGAGTGATTAATAAATCATTTTGTGAAACTTTTATCGATTTGCGGGTAGAGAATCAATTATACAATATATTATAGAGAGCATTATTGCTTTTGAAAGGTAAAACGAGAGAATGGCGAATAATATTTTTTCTTGAAGTCTTCTTTTATTAACGATAATATTCTTCATATTTCTAATTAAGAACGTCGTTCTTCATTTTTCAAGTCGCTATTCTTTATATATATACGGAATAATTAAATTATTTTTGCAAAAATTTTTTGATGCTGCCTACGTTAATTAAATAAAAGCACATTTTTATTTTTCTATAATCTTATAATAATTAAAAAATGAAATTTTAAGAAATAAAAATCTAATTAAAAAAAACAGTAAAATAAAATTTTGAGAAATATTTTTTTTATTAATTTTTGAAAAAAAAAAAATGGTTTTGAAATGTGAATATAATTATTTATAATGTAATAATGACAGTCATATATGTGCGTTAAGTAGTTATCTGGGCATCTTAATTAAATGTTTGAAGATTAGGATTGAGTTTGTCAAAGGAGTGGGTTATAGAAGAGCTTGTGCCACAAGTTATTTGAGCAATTAAATGCCTGAGGAGATTGCAGTTTGATACGCTTGAGTTGATAACAAAGCTTTGCGACGTTACGCGACATGTAGGGCCAGATGACTAATTCGTATACCAGTTTCTCGTGTCAGGTTATTGTTCGCTTCACTTTCGTTGTGAAAATAACAACCCCTCTGCTTTTTCTCTCTATATATATATTGATTACCGATTAACCACTTAGAGACAATATTTATGTTTTACGAAAAGAAAAAAAAAAAAAAAAAAATTACCGAAAATATTAAAGAAAAACAAAAAGATAATGTAATTGCAAACAATAAATTATTTGAAAAATATTAAGACTTGGAATTAAAATTTTGAGAAAAAAATTATATATATTTTTTTTAACTGAAAATTATTTGTATTTTTGATTTTTCTGATATAAAAGTTCTTTAAAATATATATTTTAGTTAAGTTTTCTTATTAAAGAAAATAGTCTTGCCCTTTTAAAAGCTCCTCTTTTGTTCTGTAAAATGCTTTTACAAAAGCTTTACATAAAGTTTAGATATAGTTATATTTTTTCAAAGGAAATTGAATTTTTGTCTTGTGAGCATTTTTCTTTGTTGAAAAAGCATAGGAAAGCAAGAAAGAGAGGAAAAATCTTGTCATTTTTTCGAAAAAGTTTTTTGCATGTCGCACATTTGCTTTTTGTATATATATATATATATATATGTAACTTGGATTTGGGATAAAATTGTTTTCTTCTGTTTTTTCGCTTTATTTCCTGTCGAATGTATACGATTGTCAAAAGGGATAAATAAATACTGTGTTCTCGCTTGAAAAGTGAATACTCGTTCGCACTTCGGTTTTTTTTCTCTATATAACCATTCGTGTAACATTTTTCACAAAAAAAAAAATAAATAAAAATAAAATAAAATCCAGTGAAAAATAGCGAGTAGGTGAAAAGTTTTAGGTTTCAGTTTATGAAAGGAGAGATATATATATTCAAGAGGTTTGCAAATGGTGAAGTTTAATGAGACGAAAAGGTCGAGGAAACAAAATATATTGCTGTTTGAAAAATATCGACAAATATTGAGGTGTATAAAAAAATACTCCAAATTAAATAATAATGAGAGTATAATATGATAAAAAAAAAACTATTTCGAATTTTCCATTAATATTAGAATTTAATGTACATTTCAAGAAATTGTAAAGGATCTAAAGGAAGATAATATTAGAGCTCTTAACCAGTTTGTCGAGTTATAACGTCTTGAGACTGACTCAGCAATTTCCTGAGATATTATTCAAATATGGAAATATTGCATATTATTCTAGTTTATTAAGAAAAAAATCTGAGTTTTTTTTAAAAAATTGTTTCTAATAAATACTTTTTATTATACTCTGAAATTCTAAAATTCCTTAAAAAAGCATTAATTTTGGTTTTATTTTTCTCTCGCCTTTTTTTTTCTTTTTCTTATGTTCGGGGTCGAGTAATCTGATTGAATTGAGTTTATTAGAGCTTAGAAATAACAAATTTATTAAGAAGGACCAGATAAACCAGGAGGGGGATATATTTAATTAGAACTCAATTCAAGTTTTTTTTTTTTTTTTCTTGAGTTTTCTTTTTTCGAAAGCTCTACTCTTTTTCAAGTTTAGGTAAAAGTGCTACACAATTCCTAAAAAGAAGCTCGTGTATATATATACATATATCTAGAATTTCCAGTTCTAATAAAGCACATTGTACACAGGATGTCCAATTTGTCTCTTGGATAAACCAATACTTGAGCACGGAATTAGGAGTAGTTAACTTTCGACTTGGAAACTAATTGGCTGGTTGTTAAATTCCGGTTTCTAATGTAACGAAAAAAAAAATTCCCTTATAATTAAACTTTACGTTTAACGAAAAGATGTTTTTTGTATTTAACAAAAATTAACAAATTTTGATTCGAAAATTACTAATTATAATACTTATAAAAACTATTTTAAAATTTTTGATTTTGAATTACTCACCGATAGAGCATTCTTTCTTGACGATCAGCCTCTTGATAAATCTTGTAATACATTGCAATCATAATAATGCCAGGTACCCAAAAGCTAATACTTGAACTTATAACCGCATAAACTTTATTAACTTCAAAAACACATGCATTTGGATTTTCACGTCGCCACTTAAGATGTTCGGGTGTTGTGTACCAACCGGCAAAAATTGGCAAAAAACTCATAACAGTAGGTGAACACCACACAACACTCAACATTGTACCCAATCTCATATTTGTCATTATTAATGGATAATCGAGTGGTTGTACAATTGCATAATATCTGTCAACACTAATACAACACAAATGAAGAATTGACACTGTACTAAAAAATACATCCAATGAATTCCAAACATCGCACATAAAATAGCCAAATAACCATGTTCCTGACATTTCAACACTTGCATTAAAACTCATTGCAAATATGGCAACTAACATGTCAGCCAATGCCAAAGATACAACAAAGTAGTTAGTGATGACTCGTAATTTTCTATGCCTCATCACTGAAACAATAACTAATAAATTTCCAAATAGGGCACATAAAATTATAAAGCACATCACTGCTGCTTTGGTGATCAAAATTAGGACATGTTCAAAATGTTGCCAATCATTCCAAGTTTTATTGCCTTGACCAGTGTCAATTATTATTTCGTGTGTGTTGATTGTTGTCATCATCATCATAATCATTGTTTCATTTGTTGGGTCCACACTGATGGTGTTATTTGTGTCCATTCTTTCAGATTCCAGCATCTGTTCATTACGAGATTTCTTTCATGATTCTTTTAAATTTTGATCTAGATTTTCTTTTTTTTAGAACTATCTAAATCGGGATTATTTGAGCTCAGTCATATAAATTTTTTTTTATAATTGGTTATTTTTTTAGAGTCTATTGGTTACTGTCTTTAATAATAATAATTTGCTTCTTCTTCTTCTTAATCATCTGCTCGTTATTAAATTATTTGCAAATTTCTCATTTAGTGAAATAAAAATTGACTGTAGGTTTTTAAAAATGAGGTATATTTTTTCTCTCTCGAAGATGACCGATTTGTATGTTTATTCAGAAGTCCCTTCTTAAAATCCATGTTTGAGTAGACCAATCAGTGTTCAAGTTTCTGTAGGTTTTAGGCTTCATGCTTGAATTAGTTCGAAGTCAATATTTGGGATTTCAGGTAAAACTGGGTCAAAGTTGAGATTTTCTTTTTTTTCTTTTTTTTTTTTTGATTCTCCTCTCGAGGCGAGATGCACTTTCGATGTTGTGTCGAGATTCTTCTTAGCTCAAGGATTGAGGTTTACTTTACTGAAGGATGACATCGCTGGAGTTTACCGAGGGATCGCAGGTCCTGGAATAGGAGGAAACAAAATTAATTTCACATTTAAAGGAGTAAAAAAAAATTTTTTCTTTTATATAAAGAAAAAATCTTATAAATGGGTGGGAAAAAAATTAATTTTAAAAAAATTAAATTAATGATGGGATTTTTATATAGTGTGAAGAAAATTAATTAGTTTCTCGCTAATATGAAGAAACATTAAATCTTATATGCGGAAATATATATTTTTTTCTGATATAAAAACAAATCATTTGTCAAAATGATGGATCTTTTTCTGATTTCGAATTAATTAATTCTAATAAATGATTCCTTTCAATATGATGAGTGATTAATAAACTTCGAAACGAGTAATTATTATCATTTTTTTCTTTGAATGAATCATTCCTAAATATCAAATTTGGAATAATTTTCTTCAAATTATCTTATAATCCTAAAATTCGATATTTAGATTTTGATGAGAATGTGTAACGCATTTAAAAAAAAGAATCATCGTTTTTTTTTTATAAACTGTGTCATGGACCAAAGAAAGAGAATTGTAGTGGATCAATTTCTCAAGGTTGGTTTCTGTAAATTATTTTTATGCGTCTACTGATCTTATTTATGATCACTTATGCAAGAATCATTATTGAACCATTTTATATAGGAAATAATAATATCTTTCTAACAAAACATTGCTCAATAAGTCAACATGAATTTCTAATTTTAAATTCTAATAAAAAAGTCCAACATGATCTTTTAATCCATATAACAAAAATGAATCATATTAAATTATGTGATCCAACTAAAATTTTTTTATTAATTTCGATATTTTTTAAATTCTATTTTTAGTTCTATTTGAAGTAAACGATGTGTTTTCCTTCACACTTTGATTTAAATTCAATGCAATATGAACTAAAGTGTCAGTAAATAATTGTTACATACATATATACATTTACATTCACATTAAATGTAGACTGTTATTTGAAATTTCCACTTTTGCTCGACTCGAACAAAAGAGCAACATTTAACAATTTATAGTTAATATTTACAACAACTGTTTTATCAATTAAGTTTGTGAATTGAAAACAAAAAATTAAAATATTTCTTTTTGTTTTTAAATTTTATACCAAAATAATCATGCAGAGAATTCGATTCCCTCACTCATGAGTAGTCGAGTTATTTTCGATATGAATCAAAACAAATTCGCAGTTACAATTTTAAAAAAATATTAAAATCAATGTTAAAAAAAAAATTTAGTAAACTTTGATAAAAATATTAAATTTTGAATTAAAATTTCAATAAATATATAATTAAAAAAAACAACATTTATATAAATAGAAAATTAAAAATAGAAAAGTTAAATATAAATTCTATTTAAAATCAAATTCGTTTCAATGAAAATCGTGAATAAAAATTCGTTTAAATAAAAATTTCGTTATATAGAAATTCCGATGAATAAAAAAAAATTCTGCGGTATAAATTTTTAGTTTAATTATAATTCTACTGAATGAAATTCAATACACTGGAAATTGGAACTAATGATTTGTAGGGAAACAAATTGAACCTTGATGGGAAACTATGTTGGAAATAATATACTCCTTTGCGTTATAAAATAGAGAGAAACAAATACTAAAGGCAAATAATATATTAAATATTCAATTTTTATTTTTAACTATGATTCGAAAAATGAATGAATATTTTTTTTTTAAATAGAATAATATATACAAGACATTTTTAATTAAATTATTTTAAAAAAATAATTTAGAATTGAAAAATATGTCCCCCTTTTTTTTGGGTTGATTTGTGAAAAAATACAGCGCTCAGTGAAAATACTAGAACGACAGATAAAAGATAACTATATATATGAGGCATAAAAAAAAAATAAAATAACAGAGAAGAATAATGAACGAGAACTAAACACGCGACCTTCTCTATTATTTACGCTTTCGTATTCTAGCTGTACAATATATACTATTGAAACTTCATCTCTTCAGCAACGAGAAAACTCTTATCTACTCACAATCCAATTTTCCCACTTATTGCAGTAGATACTGAGGACAAGGGCTTTTAAATTGTCCTGAGCGACTTTTATGCGTCTGCAATTGTAAACTGTAAATTTACTTTAGAACGTGAACACTTAAAGAATTCACTTTTTAATTACTTTAATTTTCCCCATTTTATTGATATATATACGTATATATTGAATATAAAATAACTTATTGATATTAGTTTGAAAAAAAATCTTCTTCAGTTTTGTAAATATTTAATTAAATTAATGAAAATTTAGTCGAAAAAAAATATAGCTAAATGTTTATTTAAAATAATGAAAGAAAGGTGTTTATGAATTTTTTCGAGTAGAAAAAAAAAAATCTTTTCTAGCAAATAATTTATGAAAGTTTTAAAAATTGTCTTTTATCTTTAATAGAAAAAGTTTATGATGAGTTTAATTGAATCAGTTCGTACAAAAACTACACAGAATTTTTCCACTGAATCAATATATAGGAAAAAATGTGCTATTAATAAATAATTTTTTTTTTATGTTATCATTTTACTTTTTAGATTTTTAAGTTTTTCATAGTTAATTATATAATTTTAAACAAATTATTTTTAGCGATATAATTTTTTTTTAAACATAAAAATTAATTATTAAAATTTGGATATTAATAATTCAATTTTTTATGAATTATTATTTTATCATTTTAGTAGAAATGTTTGTTTTATGTAGCTTTTCAATATTATATCAGTGTATAGAATTTTCAAATTTTATATACAAAGTTATTGTTTTGTAAAATCGCGATAAAACTCTATATATAACCAACAAAAACTTTGTTCAATTTAGTTATTTACTTTTGGGTTGAAATTTTTTTTTTTTTTTATTTTTTTTTTTGATATAGAAAATAACTTGAGAATATCGTAAAGTTTTGAGAATTTGAGGTGATACCAATATATAACCTACAACTGTCAGAAATACTTTTCTAACATTTAATGGGTAATGGATTTGTAATTTTTTTTCTCACTGTGACAACCTTCAAAGAAGAATTTCCAATAAAAAATAATTTTTTTAAAATAAAAACTATTGTACTTTTTGTATGAACTCATTCAATTTTTTTTTTTAGAATTTTTATAATTGAAATTGAGTAAATACAAATAATAAAAAATAATAATGATAAAAAAATTAGAATTTTTTTTATTTTCAGTTAAATTTGTATTTTTTTTTTATTTAAGATTTAGAAATTCTTTTTTTTTTATTTAGAGAATACTTTGAGTGTAAAACGTTAAATGGTAATATTGTTGAATGTAAATGTGTTATACTAAAAAGAAACGATATGTATCTTTTGCGCAGACCGCAGCAAGCTTGATCAAAGATGCATCCCTTCGGGCTTACGAGCGTTCTGCAGTCTTTCGTTTCTCGCTCACTTTACAGCATTACAATAAAATAAGAAAAAATACGCAGTATCCTCAAAAAAATACTTTGAATTTTTGAAATCCTTTTGTATAAGTTAAAACACAAAATTTATTTGGAAAAAATTTGTTTTTATGTTAAAGTTGATAAAAAAACAGTTACAACTTAAAAGTAGTTGCACTTAACACTAGAACTACCGAAAAGGGAAATGGGCTAAAACTATTGTTTAACATCAGTAGATATTTAGTTTAATAGAAGCTTTTTTAAAAAATTATAATTATTATTTTTATTCAGTAAAAATATATTTGTCTCAGAGTTAAATAATTATTTGATTTAAATAAAAAATTTATTTACAATGAAACTATTTAATAAAAATAATAAATAAATAGTAAAAGTTTTGTTGACAACAATTTTGGGAAATTGGGAAACTGTATATATATATATGTTATACGCTAATGTGCATCCTCGAGTGCCTAGCATTACTATGTATATTACAGAAACAGGAAGTGGTCGATAAGAAATGCATTATGGTATTTTTACGAGGAAATTTTGTATATTATACTTATGACGACAAATCGACATGTTTTACATACTTTATTTTTTTTTCAACATTCTTATCATTTATTTTTTTCCGACATTTTTTTTTCCCCCTCATATATTTATATATACACAATATATATATATAATATATTTTGCATAATTTCTCGAATCTTCGAACACAATATCAATTTTGTTGCGTAAAATATTATACCCATAGAATTTTATAGTAATGCGAGTAAACTACTTTGAACTATTTATTTTATATGGGGGAAGAAAAAGTATTGATTGTTTCTATGAAAGTTTCTGACTTGGAAAGGAACTAAAAAAAATAAATATAAGAAATGAATATCAAGTTTACATTACTTTAGTTGAATAATAATAATAATTATTATTATTTTTATCAATATCTTTTTCAATTGGCTTTTATCCTTTAAAATTTACGTTATTACGAAATAATTAAGGAAACAATAAATTAATTAATTATAAATCAAATTTATTATTATTATTATTATTTATTCATTGTTGTGTTTCGTTTATATGGTTTATAAATTTTATTAAACATAAACTAAATTTAATTTGTTATAAATTTTTTATTTTTATTTCGATTGAACTATAATTTTTGAAATAGTATGAATAACGAATTTACAACTTAAATAGAAACGTTTAGTGTTTATTTTTACGGATGTTCGGAGTGTTTGATCGAGTCATAATTTTTATTAATACAGTGTGTATGTGTGTGTGAGGCGGAAAAAGGGGTATAAGAATAATTCGTCGCCTTTCAGTTTCGATTGAAAATAATATTCTCTTCACTGCTCTATTTTTACAATTGAGAACACCTGCTTGTCACTTTTCAAGTATTTTTAATTTTTTACATACTTTTTTTGCAGTTTTATTCTGTTTTTAATTTGGGATCCGCATTTTATAATTTATATATATTGAATCCAACGAACACATAGTTCGTAAATATAATATACATTTTTGCAAATTTCAATAATAATAATAATAATAATAATAATAATAATAATAATAATAATAATAATATTTTTTTATTCATTCGTAAATAAAAATTTCTTTTTCTTATTTTGTCAGCTAGAAATTACTTTTTTTTTTCTCAAACAGAAAATTTAATTGACTGTGAGTAAAAATCATTACTTAATTATTTAGTTTGAATTTTCTTTATAGAATTTCACTGGATTTCAATTTATTATTTATTTTATTTGTTCATTTACTTTTCTACACTTTTAAGTATATTTCTCATTTCTTTCTTTGAGTTCTTTTTTTTTTTTTATTGTATTTATTTTACGTGGAAATAAATTTTATTTTTCTCAACGTTTATAAGTTTTTCCATTTATATCTTTCGCTGATGAAGATTTTCAATTTACTCTGGATTTAATTTCTTTTTTTTTTTTGTTTGCTTTTTCAATGTCGCGTGTTTATACTATAAGAATATGACTTTCTTCATACGAATTCAATTTATTAATATTATTGGTCATTTTTAGGGGGAAATTATATTTTATTTGTTATTAGAGAAAAAGTATAGATATTATTTTTATTTACATAAAAAAAAAAATTAAATGTGCCAAAAAATTATTTGATATATATTAAATAATATTGTTATACCTACATTTTGAAATTGGTTGACAGAAACTGTCAGAGAATGTTCAACTGTAGTAATGTTTTTGGTATTATAATCAGCCATAATTTTCACATTGTCGGAAAATGGTCCTTTAGATACAGCAGCCAATAATATTGTCATTAAAATCTCATGCTTAATATGGACCAATAAATATGATCCATAGTGACACATATTCGCTATCAACTGACACGTTTCTCATTTCACTTTATGATATGTATATCCCTTTTTTAAATAGTACTCGTCAAAACTGTGCCTATATGACTTTCTTCTCAATTTTTATGAAAAAAAAAAAAATTATTAATATTTTCATTTACAACACATTTTTTTAAAAATGTTTTTCAAAAAATTGTTTAATTTATTATTATTATTATTATTTATTTAGTTTCATTTTATGTAGTTTTGCCCAACAAACAAAAATTAGATATGAAAACTTTTAAAATGTTGTTATTTAAAAAATGCGTTTATATTTAAATTAGTACTAATTAAAATATTAATTACAACTAATTTAAATAGTTTAAATAATTAATTTAAATATAGTTTTTTTAAACAAATTATTGTTTTTTTAATGTGCGATTATATTTTTTATTTAAAAAAAAAAATGTTCTTAATTTAAAAAATAGACAAGGCGGATTTATTCTAATAATATTATAATATTATATTTATTATTATTATAAATAATTTTTCAATCTTTAGAAAAAAGAAACCATATTCCAAAAAACTAATACTTTATTTATTAACTGATAACTCGTTTTAAAGTAAATTAACAATTTGTTAAAATTAAAATTTTCTTTAAAATTATTTACAATTGTTTTGGATTTTTTTGCTTATTTTTTATCTCCTTGTATTCATAAATTCAATTTGAAATTTTTAACCCCCCCCCCCCCACCTCTTAATTAAAGTAATATAATTCTTTTCAAAGTGAAAATTTTTTTTTTTTTGAATATATTTAATCATTTTATTTATATTTTTATTTATTAATTTTAATTCTTAATATTATTTATTGATAATATTTATTAATATTATTTATTAATATTAGTTATTAATATTATTTATAAATATTAGTTATTAATATTATTTATAAATATTTATTATTATTACTTATTAGTTTTATTTATAAATTTTATTGTTGAAAACTTTATTCACATATTTTTTTTAATTTAATAATTTTATTAAAAAAAAAAAAATTTCTTTACTTGACTCTTGTATAAATATTTTTCCAATCGAATGTGGAGGGAAAAAAAGAAATCAAAAAATAAAAATCACAATGAAAATTGAGAAATCGAAAGAGAGAAAGTGAGAGAGAGAGAGAGAGTGTGAGAGCGCGTAGAGATTAAGGTGCCAAAATCACGAGCCGTGACATCGTGTTGTCAGTTGCACGGCTGGCAAGAGACCGAAGTGAACTGCGGGTGGAATTGGTACGAGCTTTTCCCACTTTCCTGGTTTTCCTCTGTTACCCCCAACTCTCTTTCTCCATCCCCCAATATTCACTCCATGCGCCCATCAACCCCTGGCTATATATACTAGTGAACTTTTATATCTTATACTTCGGCAGTGATCCAGCGTTTTCTACGCGACCGGAAAATGCGTACAACGGCCCTTCTTTCTTTTTTCACACTCCCCCCCTTCTTTTTTTTACATTTAACATTCATTTTCTTTTTTTTTAATTCTCGAAGTATTTTTTTTTTTTCAAGAAAGTAACGCACGCAAATGAAATTAAATACTCTCTCTAAATCTGAATTAGTAAAAATGTTTATCACCCAGAGAAATGATTTATTTAAATCAAATAAAATATATTTGAATTAAATAAATGTATATTTGTCTCAGAGCCTACTAACATATTTATTTGGTGTAAATAAAAATTTTATTTGACATAAATAAATTTTTCTTTAGTTTAAATAAATTTTTTATTCCAATGAAATAAAATATATTTGCAACAAATAAATGAGTTAGTAGGCTCTGAGACAAATATACTATTTCTCTGAGTGTACTAATTTGAATTAGTGACTCACTTTTTGCTTCGGAATTAGTAAAATTTTACTAATTATTAGTAACTTTTACTAAAAAATAGTAAAATTTTACTAATTCAGAAGCAAAAAGTGAGTCACTAATTCAAATTAGTAAACATTTTTACTAATTCAGATTTAGAGAGTATGGTGTCTTTTAATTTGAAACAATCATGTGTATATAACTATTTGCGCGTTACTTTAATCACTTTTTGTTACAATTGTAGGCGTTAAATTGATAGTTACTCTCTAAATCTGAATCAGTCATATTTTACTGATTAGCAGTAGAAATCTACTAATTGCCATAGCGAGAATTGAGCAACTGACAATTTAGTAGAAATTTACTGATTCAATTAGTAAAATATCAATTACTGATTGAATCAGTAATATAAATAAATGGCGGCGGCCACAAAATCTACTGATTTAATAGTTAATTTTAAAGGTTATGTTATATACAAATTACTGATTTACATAAGTTATTTTCTATTGCTTGCATATTCACTAATTATATTAGTACTCTCTAAATCTGAATTAGTAAAAATGATTACTTATTTGAATTAGTGACTCACTTTTTGCTTCGGAATTAGTAAAATTTTACTAATTATTAGTAACTTTTACTAAAAAATAGTAAAATTTTACTAATTCAGAAGCAAAAAGTGAGTCACTAATTCAAATTAGTAAACATTTTTACTAATTCAGATTTAGAGAGTAAATTTCAAAAAATAACTGAAACTTCAGTTAAAGTGAAAAGTACTGATTGAATTAGTAAAATTTCTACTGATTCAGATTTAGAGAGTAAATTTTGGATATTTATTAGTTTGTAAGAATAATTTTACTTTTTTTATCTGCAACATTTGGGGAATAATAATAATCGTTATATATATTAATTTATTTCTCTCTTATATAATTAATTGTATTTATTTTATAATTGAGAAGAGAAATATTGTTAGAAAAAAAAAAACAAAAAGTTAAAATAATAGAGAACTTATTTTGTTGAAAGTTTGCAAGCGAAGAGAAATTGCAGTTTGAAAATAAAATCCGGAAACACGACTCTGGTCATGTTTAGCTTGTGGTTAAGCAACAGTGTCAGATTGGAAATGTTGTAGAGAAACATGGTCTCTCTACGGAAAAAGAATGTTGAGCTTGATTGATGATAATATTAAGCTATATATAGGTATATAATATATATATATATATACTACCTTCATTTATGTCTTTACGAATTTAGATCCCCAATCTTGTCAAGTATGTATTGTCTTCGATTTTCCTTAAAGCTCCCACACCCCATAAATTTTGTTTTAGGTTCCATTTTTTTTTATCTCTTCTAACATCTTTAATTAATCATTAATTACTTTTCGATTCGTTATAATCGACCAATTATCCTGAGAAACATGACGAGAATAATTTTACGTAAAATATTTTAATAAAAAATTCGATTTTAAAATTAATTTAAATTATTAATTAATATTTCAATTGATTATATTATTTATTTATTAACTGTAAATAATGTAGACTTTATACCAAAAATTTTTTAATTGTTTTGTTACAAAAAAAAAAAAAAAATTGTGTATTCCCACTTGCTTGTTATTTATTTAACTTAATTAAAATACCATTGTTTTATATAAACAATTAATACTGCTTTATTCAAAGCTATAATGCCCTTTTGTTTCTTTAATTAGTTCTTGCATAACAATAATATGAATATTTTTTTTTTGCATTTCCTCCCTTAGCAGTTTCTCTATAATAAGTTAGGAAGTTTCTTTCGTTTAGCTTTTTTCATTAATTTTTTTTTTTTAATAGAGATTTCTTTTTTTTTTTTTTTGAGTTGTAAATGAAAAAATTATCTCATTAAATATAAAAATCCGCTTCATGTTGTATATATAGATTTAAATCTTGAAGCTCTTGCGGATTTATAATCCGTTTGAAATTTTGTTAAAGTATATTGTAAAGTTTATAATCTAAGTAAATGAAAGAAAAAAAAAAAAAATTTGTTAATTAATTTGAAATTAGTAGTTTAATTAAAGTGTTCAAGAGGAAAGCCGATTGATAATAATGTGTACCTATCTTTTCATAAGTAACTTCAATTATTTATTAATTAGTCGAACTTGTAAATTAAAATGAAGTTTTTCTTTTTTTGTTAAAAAAGTTAAAATTAAATTTTCCTTGGAAAAATTATAAAATTTTTATTCGCATTTTTTTTTTGATTTCATTTTAAAATGAATGAAAATTTGATTATGATATTTTTTGTGGAAAAATGACAAATTCTGTCATATGCAAAAAGTGTAAAAGTCGAGAACAAAATCGTGTTTTATAATAATAAAAAAAAGAGAGTCTCAGGTAATAAAAAGCTTTTCTTGTAATAAAAGGCGATGGATGTATCGAGTTGCACTAAATCAGCAATAGTGATGTGGCACTCAATACTGTCATTCTAGTGTCGGATTATGGTTTCTGTCCATTGAGAGTAACATCTTTGATTCTAAGTATCTTCTGCCAATATGTGTTTAAAATAGACATATATATGATAAAAAATTGCTTTTATAAAATTCGTATATCAAAAATTTAATTTCGTTTTTTTTTAAAAAAAAGGTTGACCTTAATTGAGTATATAAAAAAGTCAATTTTACTTTCTGATATAATATATAGGAAGTTAAAGAAGGCACTTTTATATATATAAAATAGAGGGTGGAGAAAAGTTACACTTCTACTTGAAAAAGCACTATATATATTAGTGTGGGTAAATTTTTTTACAGCCAGAGATCCCTTCCCCTTTTGTCTATAAGAAGATGCGTTTTCCTGTCAGCATCTTTCATGACCATATTAGGCGCCAAAATTGAGGGACATTTTTCGTCATGTTGAACGAAAAAGGGTCTTTTTTTTTTGTTACTTAAGAAACCCTTGTAATAAATTCGGTAATCGAAAGTTTCTTTCAAGTTTTTTGACCCATTACTCTCTTTTTTTTTGAGAATTTATACTTGATTCGAATAGTCTATTTTTCAGTATTATAATTTTGTATTTTAAATGAATTTTTATTTAAACAAATTTTATTTAATGAAAAATTTAATTTTCTTCTTTTTCTAAATGTTTCAGACTGAAGGACAGGAAAGAGAATTCAAACAATAGTGACCAGAAAAAGAAATAAATGAATCTTCGCTTCAAACGAGAGAATCCGTAATTGTAAGTTTTTTCCGCATATTATTTTTTAAAAAATTATTTTATCGTTCTCCATTGAAAAAGAAGAGGAAAATTTTTTATGATAAATGAAATTTTAATATATCAGGAAAATTATTATAATTAAAATAAATTTGAAAAATTAGTCATTGACAAAAATTGTAGGTTCTGAATTTGGAATGAAATAATCTAAAAATAAAAAGGAAAAAAAAATCTTTATCTGGAATGGCTATACGTTTCTCTAGAATAGCGAAAACTTTCGCTGTTTTAGTAAAAAATATATTGCTGTTCCAGTGAAAATTATCGCTGTTTCAGGTGAAGATTTTTTTTTTAAGGTTATTTTTATGCTTATAAATGTAATAAAATTCAACTTGGATTATATTTTTTTTCACTTTATTTTTTCTACTTACTGTATCATTTTCTCTATACATAATCGTAAAAATTTCTAAAAAGCTTGAAATCACTTTGGTGATAAAAGAGTGAAAATATAATATATGATAGGTTGTAAAAATTTCTGATAATTCTATTCAAAATTTGAATACATTTTTTATTTAAATTTTCAATAGTCATTACATTATTCATTAGAAAATTTATTATTCTTACTAATTATTTAAGTTACTTTATTATTAATATTAGTTTTATTAAACTTTAGCTTATCTTTCATAAGTTATATATATATATATACTTACAGTTTTATCTTTGAATCTTTTTGTAAAATTTCTCGACATTTATTAATTTATATTTCAGAGATTCATATTCTCAGTTTTACTCAAACAGAGAATAATTTCTTCTTAACTCGCGCATTTAATAATAATTTCGCGTTCTCTTTTGAAATGTTTGCAGCTGCTCTTTTCCATTTGAAAACTTTCTTATGAACTTTCAAACATTACTTATTATATGTCGAAAATTAAATGAAAAACATTTTTTATTTACTGTTTCTTAAACAAAGTTCTGTTTAAGATAATTCAATTGGGGGTTTTTTTTTATTTATTCAAAATAATTTTCTTTTTTTATGAATTTTTACACGGAAAAAAAATTCATTTAATCAAATAATCGATTACTTTATTATAAAATATTTATTTGAACCAAATAATTTTTATTTGATCCAATAACTTTTGTATTTTGAAACAAATATCATTTCAAATAATAATTATTTGATACAAATAAATATTTGTTTGAATCAAATTTTGGGAATTTTTATTTTATTACAATTTGTATATATATAGGGTAACAATTCCCAATGGGAAATTGGATCATTAATGTGGCCTAACAATGGGATTCAATATATAGTGAGATTCAGTATTGACAACCATTAATGGTCCAACATTGAGTGAATCTTAGAATGATCACATTGTGTCAATAATTTGCAACCACTTAAAAGTGATACGACTATACCATCTGGAATCGTGAGAAAGATTTAATTTATTTTAATTAAAAGATATATAATAATTCGTAAAAATTGAATCAAATTTTTTTGATTTTCTGTTCTCTTGAAAAATTAATTTGTTTGCTTTTTCGGAAAAAGAAATTTTTTACATTAATTATTTATCTTATAATTTATATATATATATATATTGATTTATCGATTAATAATTAATTGCAACTATATTTAATTAATAATAGTTCATCTATAAATGTGTGTTTATTAATATCGAATATTCTATAACATTTGAATGAAAAGATTTTAATAATTGACGATTTAATTAAATAGTAATTTCCACGTTATTACAATACGACTTGCTATAATTATTATGTGGTCAGGAAAGGAAAATACATTAAACTAAAATTTGATATTGATTCTATTAGTAATTTACAGGGTGGGAAAGTTGTGGCAGTCGAGTAGTTTGGAAATTTTGGATTATATAATCGAAATTTAATTATGATTTTATATAAACAAAAAGAACAAATTTTAATTTAAAGAATAAGATTCTTATTTTTTCGTTTTTAAAAAAAAAGATTTCTTATAATTAGTTCTTCATATTACAAGTTACATTTGTTACTTTAATAGTTTTTCTTTTGTTTGCATAGGTTTTCTTTAATTTTCCCAGTTTTTTTTTTCGTTTTAAAAGCGTTCACAATTATCGGGAAAAATGAGATTAGTTTTCTGTCGTACTTTTAATAGGTAAAACTTTTGTTGAAAATAAATCTTCACTTTTATATTATTATGAATGAGGTATTACTTTAACGACGCAATTAGCAAATTCATTAGCGCTGATATTTCACCCAAGAATATTAAAAAAAGGGAGGAAAAAAAAAAAAAAAAAATTCAATATATTGAAAATTATTTTTCGTAATATTGAAAGTTGATTTTGTTATATATATGCAGGTGTTTTAGTTATAACAATGCTTAATGCTAATATTGATATTACATTCGCATTTAAATTGAAAATTTAATTAAAACTTTCTTCTTAACAAGTGAATTCATTGGAAATATGTAAAAGGTTTTACATATTACATATTACATATACATGAAAATGTAAATTATTTACATATATTCTTCTTAGAAATAAAATTAAAAAAAAAATATTATTTATTTTATTAATATTTTATATAATTTTTATGATAAAAGAAATTTGAAAAATTGAAATTTTGGTAATCGACAATTTGCCTTGGAAATATTGAAAATTTGAATGGTAATATTGCTCGAAGGAAAATTAGTTTATTTATCGAGGAAAGGAAAGGAGGAATTTGTTAATTTTAGTTCGATTGTTTAAATTTTCGTTATCCACAGATGGTATAGAAGGTGTAGATGATAAAAATGTTTTCTTCCTTTTCCATTAGTGTTGAGCTTTTTAGTTGAAATAAAAGCCACATCGTGTCGATAACGTCGTAATCTGTAAAGCTCAAAAGATTAAAAGCTTCATTTAACTGATATAATGATATTAAAGAAATATTAAAAATAAGAATTAATAACACGGTAATAAAAAAACGATTAATTAATTATCTTTTAATGAAGAAAGCTTTTAAGCTTTTTTGAGATTTGCATGATTTATGCGAAGCTTTCAAGATTTATGTATTTTTAAAATTCCCTCATTTTCTCATTTTTGCAAAGCGATTTTTTTTTCTTTTATTATATTTTATGTTATATAAATTTAATTAGTTAATTTTTATTTTTTTGTATTTCGATGCTATTTCATATATGTTACTTTTAGATAGGGAACTAAAATAGAAGTTTAAAATTTTATTAATAGCTATATATAAAGTTTGAAATTAGTTTATTTGAAAAGAATGTCTTTACACAGCGTTCTAATAAAAATAAAATGCTTATTTTATATTATAAGTACAAGAACCTCATAAGATCGATCGTCATTTCATTGAAAGTCAGTAACCTCAAAAAAAGAGAGATTTATGAGCTTAATTTTCTTGTGAGTGCGCGGGAAATTTATGAAAGGGACAATCATATAAACAAATGTTTCATAAACACGTTTTTTTTTTTTATCTTCACTTTAATCAAACTATTTTTATATATATTCTGGCTACATTTTTCACATATATTTTCGATATATCAAAACTTGGCATTTTTCAATATCTCACAAGTGCTTTGGAACATCCTTACTGAATGTAAGATAAATAAAAATTTATTATCCATTTCGAATTTTTTTTTATGAGCTTGAAAACTACTTGGAGAAAGGCAAAAGGATTTTGAAAATGTATTAAATTAGCAAAATTTTGTTTTTTTGTGGATTAATTATAAAAATTAATTGTTTAGATTTTGAATTATAAATAAAAAAAAAAAAATGATTTTATTTAGGAAGAACATTGAAATGTTTAGGTTTTGGAAGAATGAAATATGTTTATTATTGCGTTAAGGAAATTAGTTTGAATTTACTTATAAAGTGCTTGTGTTTTACAACATGTAACACCTTGGGTTAAGATCTAATATCAAGGGTAATTTTAATTTGAAAGGTCATATGTACATTGAGTTACCTTGACTGCGTCCGAACGCACGCGATAAATATTAAAGTCTTATTGATCCGTGTTAGAATCGATTTACTTCTATTGTCAACTTTTTTTTTTTGTATTTCTTTTTAAATAACCGATGATAATCGATCGTTTATTTTATTTTAATTTTTTTTTGTTCCCTAAAAAAAAAAGTAAATTGTTACACACTACATTAACTTTATACAAAGCACTTTTGTATTTTTCTAGTTTTCTACTATGAAAAATTCTATCCTTGGACTTACAAATAGATTCGATAAAAAAAAATAAAAAAATGATAGTTTATTAATTATTGAAGATTAAAACATTTTTTATTAACTATATATATATATTATTAAAGTTGTGGACATTTTTTATTAAATAAATATAAAAAATTCATTTTTTTTTGTTTCGAGAATAAATTTTTTATTGATGAAATTAAATTAACTATAATTGAAATAATAAATATCTCAATTTTGATGTTGATATACTCGTGGAAAATTAAAATTAATTGTAGTTTATGCATTTTTTTTTTGTAACTCCAATAAAAAAGGTTGAAAGTGGAGAAAAATACATTGGTATGCAGTGCTCTTTATTAAAATGGGTAAAAAGTTTTAATTGCTCTGATATTGATAAATACTCTCTCGGTTATACATATTTAGAGAATTTTTTCCAGATTCCCTGTCGACACTAATTAATAGTAAATAATTTTTATTGACAAATAATAATAGGATCCATAAATATATATGTATATTTATATAATTAAAATATCAATCTCATTAATTAAAAGTTAAAATAATGATTTAATTAAAATTTTACATGAAAAAGTGAATTTTTTCAATTTTTATTGAAAAATAAATTTTGAGAATTTTATTAAAATTATATGTTTGCAAAAAAAAGGTGTAAATTTTTTTGATTTTTCTATAAAAATTAAGAAAGGAAAACTTTCGTTTGCATTATTATCGTAATTGTCCTAATTTCTCGGTTGAAAATCAATATTATAGACGAAATTCCATGAAATTTGTCATTGCAGTCAGGTGGATAGACATTGTTCTGCAGGTACCTGTGTGTTTAATCGGCATGTTTGTGGACCACATGCCCTTGTTTGAATTTATAATCATAATGATTTCCAGTCTATAAATTTTTCAATGATAACTTACCCTTTTATCATTTGCATATAATTATATATATATTCTCGAAAGATTCTAATTTCAAAAAAAAAAAAAAATGAAAAAAATCTTTTTTGCCTTTGTTTTTAGTGATTTAGAATTCTTTTTGTTGAAAAATAGGTTGTGATTTAAAAAAAAATGGTTCTTGGTTCTGATTCTTAATTAAATATTTTCCTTCAAAATTTTTTGTCTTTATTCTTTGATTCATATTTTCTTTCATTTGTCTTTTTCTTATAAAAATATGAGGGAAAAAATATTGCTACCATATAAAATTTATATATAGGAGAGGAAATGAATATTATTTTTACTTTTACATATGTTCTTTATTATTTTTTTTCCCCCTCGGAACGGAAAAAGAGATTATTCCAAATGAAGTAATCCAAAAGAAAATCTTTTATTTGTTAAAATAATAATTAAATTATTTTTTAGTAGTAGTATAGTATAGTAGTATACTTTTTTAGTATTATAAATTTTTCTATTTTTGTTTTTAAATGTAAAACAAAAATCATGCAATTTTCTTTTCAATTTTCACTATATGAAGAAAATTTGTTGGTCTTTTTGTTTTATTGGCAAAAATTTTTGCGAGAGATTGAATTTTATAAGAAAAGGAGAGAATTTCGAGTTTATTGAAGTGACATTTTCAATGGTCTGACTAAGCACGTCCCTTTTAGTATATAGTAGTACAGTGAAAAATGTTAGTCTGACGCTAATCGGAATTTTTCCACTTGAAGTAAGAATATTGAAACATCATTCATCGTTTCACAGAATTTTTTATAAATATTTATTATTATTTTTTTATTTTTTTTGCAAAAGTAATAAATTCCATTTTAAATATATTGAGAGTTTTGTTCTTGAATTCGAAAAAAAAAAATTTCAAAGTAAATGAAATGCAAATATTAAAAATCTTTATTGTATATACAAAATAAGGAAGAGAGAGAGAGAAATTGCTAGAGACACAAAAAGCACTTAACTAAACCAAATATATTCTGCATTTACAAATTGAATCTTCCTCTGATATGGTGGAATGGACTAATAGAAAAAAGTGGACATAAAAAAGGGAGGAGTTTTAAACAACATTCTATTCTTACAAAAAAGGGATATACACACACTGATGTAATTGAAATTTTACTTATCATTTTACACACCCATTTTTTTTTTAAATCTTTGATTAAAAAAAAAAAAAAAAAAACAAATAAAATAGTATACTGTACGATAATTCACTATAAGAAAATAATTTTGTTATACTTTTTTTTTTGAAATGAAATACTGAAAGACAAACTGTTGAATCGGTCGGAGAAGTTTTCTTTTTCTTTTTGTTTTTTTTTAGAATTAGAAGTAAACTCGAGGTCATTGATCTTTAACAAAGACGAAGGATAGCGAAAAAAGTTGAAAGCCAAGTTCGTTGACGTCTCCCTTGAGCTATTATCGGATCTAAATGTCCCATGAGCCGAAAATTGAGAGGGAAGAAGTTAGTGAAAAGAGATTTTGCTCAAATGAATCCGTAAATTACTTGAATAAACGAGTTTGAAATAATGACGTGAGTGCGATATTTGAAATGATGGAACATTTTTTTTAAATTCAAATAATTTATTAAACATATATTTATACGGTATTTAAAATTAAATTAAATTCATTGAAAAAAGGTTTTCTTTTAATTTTCGATTGAAAAATATTAAAAGAAATTTTTTTTTTGGCGTGAATTTTCTTAGTTTTTTTTTAAATTAAACTTTATAGATGTTTATTGATAAATTTGTAAGTAGGTGAGATTTTCCACTTGAATGCGGTATTAGAGATGAGAAACTTTAGAAATGTTCCAATAATTGAACTTATAGGTGGTTCAGATACAATATATATATGAATGCATCAAGTTTTGTTTCTAAATATATATATATATATATATATATATATAGTGTTCCCAATTCTGATAACAAGAATTATTGTAAAATTTATATATAATTCATTGTTGAATTTATGAATCATTTTATGATGCAATAGAAAAAAGTTAATATCTCTCTATCTGATAAATAGATTAACGATTAAATCTTTATAGATAAAAAAAAAATCAACGAATCAGAAATAAGATGAATTTTTCTCTATAAATAATAATCGGCGTGATGAAGTAATCAAAAGTAATTCGTAAGTGCTTGGAATAATATTCAAATATAATGGCTCTTCGTTGTCCAACGTGTGGTAAATTTGTGTCAGCAAATTATGATTGTAAAAATTGTGGATCAAGTGAAAAAATTCCTGTTGTTTATAAAAATAAATCATCATCTTCAAGATTATTATCTAATGATTATGGTGGTCCATCAACAAATTGTGAATCAAGGGAAAAAATTCCTGTTGTTTATGAAAATAAATCATCATCTTCAAGATTATTATCTAATGATTATGGTGGTCTATCAACAAATTGTGGATTAAGGGAACAATTTCCTGTTTATGTAAATAAATCATCAGCTATAAGATTATTATTTGATGATAATAGTGATTCAACTTTTAATTTAATTTCGAGAAATTCACCTGTAAATGCAGCTGAAAACTCTTCAACAATAATTTCAAATATTCGTGAAAATATTACATCTTTCAATGACAGATTGAATTTATTACAACTACAATTAAATGAATTTAAAAATGAAATAGAAACATTAATTCCTGTCAAAGATGAATTGAATAATTTAGAAAAGAAAATGAAACAACAATTTTTCGATCAAGTGAATATAAAAATATTGGAACAGACAAAGAATTTAGAAATTAGATTTGGTGAATTTAATGAATTGAGAGAAAATAATGAAAGTGATAATAAAATTAAATTGAATGATTTAATTAATAATTATCTACTACTTGGTAAACGTATTAATTCAATTGAACAAATATTATTTAGTAAAGATGCATTTTTTAAAAATGAGGATTTTAAAAAATTTAAAGAAGATGTTATTGAAAAAAATCTTTTAAAATTTGCTGAATATGAGACACGTTTTGCTTCTATTGAGAAAATATTGGATAAAACAATTTCAGTTCAATTTGAAGATAAAATTATTGATCTTGAGAATAGTAATAAATCAATTAAAAAACAATGTGATTTAATGAAAATACAAATTGATGAATTGAAAGAAAATATTTTGACAATTTGTCACAATGAATGTGATGCATTAAGTAAAAAAATGTATAATGTATATAATTCACGTTATGATTTATTAACCCTTTGCGGCATAGTGACACTCCTGAGTGTCACCTTTTTTCGTGCACTTTTTTGAATACTTCAGCCACTATTTTACACATTTCATTAACAAAATGTATTTAAAATGTATTTTAGAATATATATTATAATATAACTACATTAAAAAAGTGTTTTTTATAAATAAAATAAATGTTATAAACAAATTAAGTTTAAAAATAGCGTTTTTTTTACAATAAATGTAATTGTGACTAAACAACAATAGGAAATAACCTAACAATAATGTTTATAAAGTTTTTGGGGAGCTGATTTCGAATCTGGCATCAGATTTTCAAAATTCAAAATGGCGGATCCAATATGGCGGATGACAAAATGAAGAATTGATCGGATTTGCTTAAAACTTGTTATTCGGGGGTTTTTGAGGTCGCTGATTACGAATATAACGTTGGACTTTCAAAATTAAAAATGGCGGATGACAAAATGAAAAATTGATCGGATTTGCTTGAAACTTGTTACTACGGTGTTTTTGATGTCGCTGTTTATGAATATGACTTTGGATTTTTATAATTCAAAATGGCGCTTTTGTGTGTGTCTGTGATCAATTTGATCAATTTTAACAAAATTGTCCGCTATATTGGATCCGCCATTTTGAATTTTGAAAAACTGACATCGGATTCGTAATCAGCGACCCCGAAAACCCCTGAGTAACCAGTTTCGAGCGGATATGATCAATTTAAAAAAAATTGTCCGCCATATTGGATCCGCCATTTTGAATTTTTAAAATCTGGCTTCGGATTCGTAATCAGCGACCCTTAAAACCCCCTATAATGCACTTCAAAGATAAATTCCTGTTAAAGAAAAATGTATGCTTCAAAGGGTTAAAAGAAGAATTAAATATATATCGACGTGTTGATCTTGCAAAATTTGAGGATAAAATAAATGGTATTGAAAAAAATAAAGATTTATTTATGGAACGTTGTATTCATTTGGAGGAAAAATGGAAAAAGGAAGAAGAAAGAAGACAAGAATTTTATCTTTTCACTTGGAGAAAATTAAATGAATTCGAAGCGTGTAAATATAAATTCGATGGGCAAAAGAAAACTAGAGAAATGATAATTTTGATTCTAATAATTTTTATTATTTTGTATTTCATTTTTAATATAAAATATGACGATTTTGTATTTAATAATAACAAACAATTGGAATCTTTATAATTTATTATTAAATTATAAAAAAAAAAAAAAATGTTAATGGAGAAAATAGAAAAATATTAAAAATTTAATAGAAAATTAAAATTGTAGTTTTTAATAAGGAGAGAAAAAAAAATTTTTTTTTCTAAAGAATAAAATGACAGAAAATAATTAAAATGCGGAAATGAATTAATAACTGAGAAAACAGTTATCATCACTTTTTTATTATCGTCAGTATAATCATTCTTATCTTCATCTTTTTCTCGTCACAATAATATTATATTATCACACACCTTTCATAATAATCATCGCACTCATATAATTCTTACAATTGTCTGTGTCAATAAGCTTTACAATTTCGTCGATAATATTTTTGTCACGTTGATTTTTCATTTTTTTTTTTTTTCTTAATATATATTACAATTTTAATATTATTCATTATAGCAGTATATTTACATAGCATTCATACCTAATCTCTTTGGAGATTCAAGAAATTTTTTTTCGCGATGCTACAATTTTTTTTTTTTTTTTTGTTTTTTGTTTTACAACACGTGCGACGTTTCGTTGTAATTTCGAGTTTATAAACAAAAAAGAAAAACGAAAAAAGAAAAGAAAAATGACGTTCGTCGCAAGTTCGATTTTTTATTCGTAAAATCGTATTTTTTGAAAAAAGAATTAATTTTTCTATATATATGTAAAAAAAAGGGATTTTTTTTTTAATCACAAATTCTATCACACAACAAACAGGTGTTACTGAAAAAACAATCAAGAGCGTAAAAAAGTTTTAATTACTATATAATGGATTATCACAGAAAATATGTGATTGAACAACGTGTTATAAGTCATATTTACAATATTTACATAATATAGAATTTTTATACATATATATTTATTATATGTATATATTATTATAGTAAGTCGTAGATTTACAAGTTTTACACAGTTTTTTTTTCATTTTTAACAAAAATAAATTGTTCCTTTTTTTTAGAACTACTGTTAAAAAATTAATTCAGACTATATTTATATATGTGTGTAAAAATTGTAACAAACAAAAATCTAATTTTTCTCATATACTTTAATTCCAAATTTTTATACGAGAAAATTTAATTTCAAATGGAACTATATCACTATGATTAGCTAAAAATTTTTTTTTTGCACATAGATTTTATCTATAAAGCATTTTTCTCACTTAACTTTTATATTTTCATTTTTTTTTTTTTGAAAATAATATTTTTAACTTTTTGAAGTAAAATATATGTTTTTTTTTTGATTTCGACATTTTTTTCAATTTGCAAAAAATATGAAATTTCCATGTAATTGAAAAAATTTTTTTTTTTTAAAACTCTTTTTGTAAAAAGAAAGAAAAAAGTTTATTCTTTTTAAATTGATAACTTTATATTAAAAATTATATATTTAAATGCGAATGAGTATATATAATAAATAAAATGAGAATATTTATTAATGTTTCTGAAATATTTCGAAACAAGTATATAGTGGGCAATTTAATTTTGAGACTAAGTATTTTTCAACTAAAAATAGTTTAAATAACGACTCACATCAGTCGAATTTTCTTCCTACATCCTCTCGTATTTACACAAGACGCTAATCTTCTAAAAGCGCTTTTTATACAACGTCACGTTGAGCTTTGGGCGCTTTTATTGCGCCATAAAATTTCACCGGTTCATCTCTTTGGTTCCTATATATATATATATAGAAAAAGAGAGAGAGCGTATAAGTGAGCATTGCAATCAATCGCAGGCCACCATTTATTATTATTATTATTATTATTATTTTACCAAAGGGCAGAGATTATTCTATTTTTTTTTGAAAATTTCTTAATTTTAATTTCCCGCCGTTTTTTTTTGTCATGTTTTTTTTTTATTGCTCGATATGCAACAAGTGATCAAATAGTATTTAATGTTTTGGATAATTGATCTTGGAATTGTTGTTTTGAAGTTAAGGAATTTTTTGGGGGAGGGGAAGTTTTTGAAGAGAATTTTAGGAACAATTGTTTGGATTCGAATCATTATTATTATTCCGATGATGTGAAGAATTACGACGACGAATCCATTTTGGTTGCATATTTACCATTTGATGCCAACTACATTGTCCGGATGATTTTGAATCACCGGAATTAGTTTCTCGCTAGACAAATTGTGATGGTGCTTTCCAACAACTTTCGCAGCATGGTAGTGCACTTTTTAATGTGTCCTTGAAGGCTTCACGAAAATCACGATTGAAATAAGCGTAAATTAATGGATTCAAGGCACTGTTAAAGTACCCTATCCAAAATAAAACTGATACAACGGCATCGGGAAAATAACATGCGTCGGCGCACAATGAGGCTGTCAAATACCTGAAATTTAGAAAAATTAATTTTTTTTTTTTTTAGAATTTATGTAATTATTTAAATAATTATAATAAATATTTTTTTATATTAATTATTTTTGGATTTATTATCCAGTAGTAAAAGTCAATATCAATCAGACGTAAAAGTTAATTATTCGTGATACTTTTGTAATTATGTTCGAAATTCTTGAAATTTTAGTGTCATCAGTAGTAATAGTCAGTTTTAGTCAGACATTGTAAATTCGCATCATTTTGTTATTATTTTATATAAAATCTAAATTCAAAAATAAACCAAATTCTTGGAATTTTGATATTAGTAGTAACAGTCAGTTTTAGTCAGACTTGTAATTTTCTTTAAAGTAGTAAAAGTAAATTTCGATCAGACATTTATTAATTTTGGTTTTAGTAAAAATCAATACTCTCCTTGTATTTTAGTATCAAGTAGGTAATAGTCAATTCTAGTCAGACATTTTAAACTAAAGAATTTATTAGAAAAATAATTCCTTTTACAATTTTTAGTTTTCAAATTTTTTTTAAAAAATATATTAATAAGTTATGAAACATGAAGAAAAAGATTAGCTTAAGTTTTTTTTTTTTTTTTTTTTTTTATTAACCTTATTTTGAAAAAAAATAAAATTGCACAATATCAATATTTTTATTTCCGATCGTAAAAATCTGATGCATTAAATTGTTGGTATAATATTTTTTAAGGTAGAAATTGTTATACAAAAAAAAATTTAATACTCCGCAAAGGTAATAAAAAAAAATCTCAATTTTCTGCAAACTTTGAAGCGTATTAGAAAGCACGCATTTGTTTACATTTGATATTTTTGAAATCTATACAATATAGGTTTATTTTAAGATACAATAAATAGAAGTTTTTTTTTTATTATAATTAAGCTATAATCAGTTTCAATACTATCATCAAACTTTATAATGAATTTTGTATTTTGATATGTTACAAACAATAATGTATTATTATTATTATTATTTGTAACAACGTAAAATATATATATATATACAGAAATTGCATCTAATTAATAAACTTTATAAAGTTTATTTTAATTCAAAATTTGCATTTTGAATGGAATTTTCATTTAATTTGGATATTTTTCATATTAAAATTAACATAAATTCCAGTTATTATTATTTTTAAAAAGAATTATAACTTTTTTTTAAATTAAAATGAAAAAAAAATTAAATTATTTTTTCCTAAGATTTATATTTTTAAGTATTAAAATGCAAATAAATTGAAATTATTTATTATAAATTGGGGAAAAATTTTTTAAAATGAATATTTAAAAATGATATTTTTTCATAATAGATAATATACATTGAGTCTATTTAGGTCTGACCATACATAGATTTTACTACTGCGAATGTGTAATTATATGTTGAATTGCTTTAACTACTTCAAAGAAACAATTTCTCCAACAATTAATTAGTTATCAATTAAATCTGAGTGTACAACTTTATAATTACAATTTCATATAAGGGAATCATTAATATTAAATTATAATTGTTTATATATATATATATATATATATATATATATATATATATATATATATATATATATATATTTAATAATTCATTAATAATTTAAGATTTATATGCTTGATTTAATTTACAAAAGAAATAATCTTCGTTTAAGAGGAAAATTTCGTTTCTAAAAAGTTCTTTCTCTATTTCCATCTTCTAATTTTATATATGAAACTACTATTTCTCTTTTTATGATAGTAGAATTTACTATACTCATATTGAGTAAAATCTTCTCAGAATGAGAATATTTCTCATATTTCTTGTATATTACATTTTTTTAAAAATATTTCTCTATTTAAGAGGAATAATTTTACTTAGTTCTTTGAGAGGACATTCCTCTTATATTGAGAGGAAATTCTATTACTATTGAGTAAAATCTTCTCAGAATGAGAATATTTCTCATATATTTCTTGTATATTAAATTTTTTTTTTAATATTTCTCTATTTAAGAGGAATAATTCTACACAGTTCTTTGAGAGGACATATCTCTTATATTGAGAGGACATTCTATTAACATTTTTTTAAAAATATTTCTCTATTTAAGAGGAATAATTTTACTTAGTTCTTTGAGAGGACATTCCTCTTATATTGAGAGGAAATTCTATTACTATTGAGTAAAATCTTCTCAGAATGAGAATATTTCTCATATATTTCTTGTATATTAAATTTTTTTTTTTTTGAATATTTCTCTATTTAAGAGGAATAATTCTACACAGTTCTTTGAGAGGACATTCCTCTTATATTGAGAGGACATTCTATTAACATTTATATGTCGAAGAGAAGTTGTATTAAAAAAAAAAATGAGAATAATTATCCTCTCAAATAAAGAGTAATTTTTTTTTTACGTTTTATATAAATAAAAAAGTGTCTTTAATCTTGATTGATGTTTAAAGAAGCGTATAAGTATTTACGTGACGTGAAAATGTATATATGTGTGTATTCTTAAATTTGATCGTAAATTGTCAGTGGATGCACGAAACCATAGAACGTACAATGCTATTCAGTGTGCATTAATTAAAGTTACGACTCATGGGATCCACGGCACTTTGTGTCAAAACCCAGGACGGAAGTCCATGATGCTTTGCATCACGTTATGCATATTTGACTGAGCTTTATGTCACTATGTGTGCATAACTGGTACTCTGTCGTAAATTATCACGGTTCAATCGATTGACAACGCATTTCAAATGGAATTCAAATTGAGTCCCTCGTCAGCCTGTAAGTCAGCACGTGATTTACTTTATTAATTAATCCGCATATTCCAAATCATTATATAAATATATAGCCAAACCATCTTTTTAAATTTTTCAAAAAATATTAAATATTATTTTTATTAAATTTATATTTAATTAAATTTTTTTTAAATAATTTTTTTAAAAATAATTTTAAATAATTAATAATTTAAATTTGAAATCTTTTTTTCCAAATCAGTAGTAACAGTCGTTTTTAGTCAGATTTTTTTTTTTGAAAAAACCTTTTTTTTTAAATGTTAACGAAATTTAGTAAAAGTGAGCTTTCGCAGTAGTATATATATACTGTGAGCTATAAGCGATTTTCATAAATAAAGCATGATTTCGACAAAGTAGAAAGAGAGAAAGAGGAAAATGTTTTTAAGTTCATCCGGATAGAAGCTTCAATAAAAAATTTTCATATATTCTTCTTTTATTTTCCGCAACGAAAAAAATATATAAAAAAAAAAAAAAAACCAACGTAACATTTTTAATGCATTTTTAATTCTTATATGTCGTTTCAAAATTTTTAGATTTTATTTTTTTCCATAAAATTTATGACATGGTCGTGAAAAATTTCCATCATGATTTTAAAATATTCAAATAGTATATTAATATTTTCTTTATAAATTCAGAGGCGATTTTTTGGTTTCGAAAAAAAAATGTTATAAATGGAAAATTTTTTTTATTATTAATTCTTTTTTTTAATACTAAAAATAATAATAATATAATAAAATTAATTTTACAAATTTAACATTTATCGATAATTTTTGTATTATGAAAATTTTTAAACAGACGAATATTTTATTATGAATTTGATATTTTGAATTAATTATAGTTTTTTTTTTTTTTTTTATATGCTTACCATGTAAAAAAAGGCAGCCAGCAAAGAAGGAATGCACCCATAATTATCCCTAATGTTCTGGCAGCCTTGTGTTCTGCTCGCCAACTTTTCGATTGTTGTCGTATCGTTGTGCCTAGAACAAATATATTTTTTTTCTAAATTATTAATTGAAGATTATTATTATTATTATTATTATTATTATTTTATTTATTTATTAAATATTTATTATATATTAATTCAACAGTTTGTATACACAATCTGAGAGTGAAAATTTGTGAATTTAAAAAACAAATATTTGTTTCCTTTCTTCTTTGTGTTTTGTTTGATATAAATTAATTTTAACAATAACAAGTAGAGAGTGAAGAAATCATCGTTATATGATGAAATTTTCAAGTTTGTCATTTGATCATTTTGATGCAACTTCGTTAGTTGAACAATGAGAAACCTGTCAGAAATATCAAGTAGATTTGCTTTGCTCGAATGCACCATTTGTCTGTTGAAGTGAGACGAGTGTAATCCCCGTACAACCGACTTCGCATGTTAATAGAAAGGGAAACGAGAAGAAGACGAAAGTCTTCTTTAAATATAAAAGAACATCTCTTCCTCTTTGGAGATTTACGATCTCTCAAGTTTTCTTATGCAACTTCTTTTATCCAAACCATTCTAATTATCAAATTTTTTTTTTTTTTTTAATAAAAATTAAAAATTTTTTAATAATAGAAAATTGTTTTAATGAAATATATCATTTTTTTTGAAATTTTGTTTCCATTTCCTACTCTCTAAATCTGAATTAGTAAAAATGTTTACTAATTTGAATTAGTGAGTTACTTTTTTAATGATTAGTAAAATTTTACTAATTATTAGTAACTTTAACAAACAATTAGTAAAATTTTACTAATTATTAGTAACTTTAACTAACAATTAGTAAAATTTTACTAATTATTAGTAACTTTAACTAACAATTAGTAAAATTTTACTAATTATTAGTAACTTTAACTAACAATTAGTTAAATTTTACTAATTATTAGTAACTTTAACTAACAATTAGTAAAATTTAACTAATACTAAAGCAAAAAGTGAGTCAGTAATTTAAATTAGTAAACATTTTAACTAATTCAGATTTAGAGAGTAGTAAACATTATTTTTATTTAACAATTTTAGATGTTTAAAAATTTCAATCATTTTTAGGGAAACAATTTTCTTGTTGTGAACGATTATCCGTAATTATATATTGGATTTGTCTTTTCTTACTGTTTTCTCTATTGACGGGAAATTCTTTTACTGTCGGTCGACTTATTTGGAACCTATACTACTTGATTCGTGAAAACAAGGTCAGAATTGTCTCGAGAACGTTTATTTCTTAACTATATATATATATATCTTGATAGATGAACACAGATCGATTTCTCGAAGCTCAAAAGGAAACAGCCATATTGCCTTACTGGTTTTTCACACGCAATCCTTTAACACATATACACAAGGTTCAATATATGGTACTAAAAAAAAATTCTTAATTTGAGAGGATTTTCAAAGTTCTCTTAATTCTAAATCAAAAATCTTAATTGAAGAGGAAATTATTAAATTTTTCATTTACGATTCGAGTTTTTTTTTTTGTACAAAATCTGTTTATTGAAAACAATATGGAATTTTAATAGTGGATGGTAGATAATATATATGATATTTAGTAGAGTGAAAAAAAAAATAATAAAGAGAAAGTAAAAGAGTTGGAGAGATGAAGGTGTGAAATCATTTGTCACAGACGTCTCGCTCGCTAGGTGGTCCAGAAGGAAAGATAAATTGTTGATGTGACACAGGACCGCGAGTACAGATTTCAGAAAAATTGAGTTAGCAAATCCATTAGATGCGAAGCAAATAATGCCAAAATCTCACAGAGACAGTTTTTGAAAAATTATATTCTTCTCCCCTTTTATACACATATAACTTGTAAACTTCCACTTGTAAAAATTGTGACAAATGAAACGCTTCACTATAAAATTTCAATAAAATAATAAAAATAATAAAAATAATATTAATAATAAAAACAATAATAATAATAATGATAATAATAAAAAAATAAGAATAGACAGTTTTTTTTAATTATAAAATATCTAAACAAAAGGGGCTTTACAATAAATTATTATTTATAGCAGATAATGAAACTATGAATCTTTTTCTATGGCTAACAATAATTTTCAAAAAGAAATAAAAAAAAAAGGTATCGTGTAAACATTAATGAGAATCATGGCGTGACTTTTTTTTTTATATCGTAAAAATTGACGTGACTGTATGAAGTATATCACGATGTTTTATTACATGAAATTTATTGCAAATATTTTTAGGTGAATTTATAAGGCCAAATAAAACGTTAATAAACTATAAATTTTAAGGGGTAACATATAATTTTTTTTTGTTGATATAATTGTTTGACTTGTTTGGATATTGGTAGAGAAAATTTATTGTTATATTAATATTAACAAATTAATATTAATTGTACTTTACAATTAATTTTTATTATTATTATTTATTTATTATTATATATATATATATTTTTTTAATTACGATGTTTTTAACCTAATTTTACAAATTACAATATGAAAGTGTATAAATTTTTTACGAATTGAAAAAAAACTTATTAATCCAACCTATGAGTTCCATTCAATTACGACTGAACACTCTAAATTAGTTCTCTTTGCCGGTGCCGCTTTTTTTTTTTTTTTTTTCTTCAATTATAACATTTGCAAAAGGATGAGGAGAACATATACACATCTCTATTCAGATCCCTCTGGAGTTGCACACACTGTGCATGGTCGACCCATTTTATATCCGACCTTTTTAGAATGTCGGCTTCCATCCCCTTTTTGCATATGCAAAAGGGCACAAACAAACTTTCTTTTTAGGGTTCCTATTAGTGTTTTCCTAGTTTCTAATAGTACCCTTAGACCCTACTAGTGACCTAGTTTTTATTTTTTATTATTTTATTAAAGGAAAATAATTTATCTACCCTTTTTAATTATATTCAGATTTCTATATATTTGTTTTTCAATATTTTTTAAGCAGAAAAATTCGAAAATATTTGTAAAAAAAATTAACGATTTTTTAAGTTTCGTTTTCTTTCAATCAAAAATTTACTACTGGCGCAGTACTGGCGCAGTACTGACAAGTAATGGCGCAGTATTGGCGCCAGAGTTGGCGTAACTTTGGGATGATAACATTTTACCAGTATTGGCTACCAGAGTTGGCACCAGTACTGGTAACCACTGCTGGTTCAGTACTGGCCGAGTACTGGCAGTTTTGTAATTTCTTGTATACGAAAAGAAAGCTATAACTGTAAGAGATAAGTTTCACTGCAATAGTGAAATCTCTGCTCCAGGTAATACTTTTTTTAGGAAAAAGTGTGTGAAATTTTTAGTAACCCAACACAAATTAAATATTAATTAAATTAGTCAACTAAACAATTAATATTTTATTATATAAAATCGAAAACACTAAGAATTTTTATTATTTATTATAATATATATTGCAAATTATTATTTTAAAAATTAAAAATTAAATATAAAAATATGTTTATTATAAAACAAAAGTTTTTGAGAAAAAAAGTTTACGTAATTTTTTGTAGCTTTATAAATTTTCGGATAAAAATTTTTAAATTTAAGTTTTTTTCAAAAGTTTAATATCAATTTTTAATCACATTGTATATTTGCATCAAAATGAATTTTTGAAAAACTTTTTTAAGAAAACAAAAGTTGTTTTTTGATTTTTAACAAGTAATGTCAAGAAAATTTTTTTAAATTTTTATTTAAAAAAATATAAATTTTTTATAAACAAATTTATTTATTTTTAGTTTGATCGTTTAAAATTTTTTTTTTTTGGTTTATTGCATATCTGAAAATAATAAGAAAATCGTGCTAAATGTTTTAGACTTGGTCTCAGGAAACTTTTTGTTTAAATAATTTTACCCACAGATGAAAAGCAAAATAAAATACATTTTAATTTTGAAAAATTAAATCAAGGTGAAAAAATTTTTATAAACAAAATATTTAAACAAAAAGATTCATGAGGTTCACTCTAGAACTTTTTGTAAACTAGTATTAATCAAAAAGAAAATCTATTTGAGCCAGTACTGGCAGCCAATACTGAACCAGTACTGCGCCAATAGTGAACTCTGGTATAATACTGAAATTTTTGGTTGGGCTATTATAATTGCTATATTTATCTACGGATAGAGGAAATTGTTTCTATTAACAATTTTATGACTTTATAATATTATAGCAGAGGAAAATTGATTTAAAAAGATATAAAACATATTATAAGCATTATTTGGTCTTTTTTTTTCTTCTTTACAACCGTAATTCTATGTCGATTGATATATCTTGGTTGTCGAACACCCGAACAAAAGCACATATAGAGAAAGATCATTTCTCTCTGGGAAATCCTATGACTAGATTCTGCAATTTCCGACAGGACACACGTACACGTGAAAAGCATTCCATTTCATTTCTATTGAAAATCGTGCCATTTTTTGCAAAAAAAAAAAAATCGTTTTTCATATTTCTTAAAACTGTGGAATTTTCTTTTCTTTGTTTTTCGAGTATTTATTTCATTATTATTTTTAAAAATATTTTTTTTTTATTTACACAATTTATTGTTATAAATTCCTTATAAATTTTTTTTTAAATGAATCTATTATTTATATATTTATTGACTCTTCCTGCTGAACAGGGTTCGAGACTCTATTAATATTATTTATTAAAATTGTTAATTGAAAAATAAATGCAAAAAATAAATTTTTTTTTTTTTTAATAAAAAATTCTCATTGGGATTTTTTTTTATTATCATATATTTATTACTTGTGAATTTTTTAAAGTGAAAAAAAATGTAGATATATCTGCAAATAATTTCCAGCGATAAAGATGGGAAATTGGTTTCTAAATTAATGTAAATATTTGAAATTCAACGACAGTGATAAACTATATATGAGGAAAGTAGATCTGCGAGCAATTACAAGTAAAGTATATTTAAGACCGAAGTTCCAGTTCTTATTTAACGAAGATGTTCTTTAATCGAAAACCAAATCACACTCTATATATCTTGAAAAAAAACATTCTTTATTGTGAATATTTTTTTTGCATTTTATTTTTCACGTATAAATGAGAAAAAAAATATTGTTTATCATTTTTTAATGAAAATAATAAAAATTAAATTTTTATAACAGAAATTTTTCTATACGTGGATAAATGGCAATTACAATAGAAAATAAATTCAAATTCATAGGATTTTTATTTAACATTGAAATAAAAATAATCAATTTGTCGGATTTTTTTAATAAATTTTTTTTTTACCGTTTTTAAAACTTTTCTGTTTTCTATTTGAAAATTAATTTAATTCACTAGAGGAATTATTTTTGTTTATTTAAATGTTATTTTTAATATTTTCTCCCTTTTTCTAATTTTAGAATTAATATACGTGTTTAATTTAATTTAATTTACTTGTACAAAGTGAAGTGAAAGGTAACTTTGAGGGACAGGTGTTTAATAGTGCGCACAGTGGTTTGAAAGAGAAAAGTGTTAGGATATCATAATAAACGACAAGTTTTCTTGAGAAGATTCAGTAAAAGCTGCACTGCAAAGAAAATAGAGTATATGCTGCTTCACAAGAAGAGAGAGAGAGAGAGAGAGAGAGAAAGGCAAAAGCTACCACGAATGTAATTTTCTTCCCCTTTCGTTCCATTTCCCATGTTCCCGGCTGTTTCCTCGTTTCCAGATATTGAGCGAGTACAAGTAGAGAGAGAGGGGTATATATCCCGGGTATACGTTCTCCCGTTGGAGCACTGACCTAACCCACTACTTCACGACTTTCCGAGAAGTCAGCTTTCTATTATCATCATCATCATCTTCTTCTTCTCACCATTTCCTTAATCTCAAATGATGGAAATTTATCACTAATTATAATATTCAATATCGACTTCAATTCAACAAAAAAGCTTCAATTACTTTTACTTCCTTTACAAAAATAATTTGTTTTTCTTTCCAATTTTTTTTTTTTTTTTTTTTTTGAAAAATTGTTCTTTCGGTAATAATTAAAAAAAAATAATAATAATCTGTCCTACATTTTTAAGGGCGCGAAGAAAATAAGAATACATTGTGAGAAAAAATTTTTTCATCTTACATTTGACGCTGGTAATCCATGTGGTTAAGAGCCACTTAAGTTTTTTTTTTCGTCTTCTTTTCGTACTGAAAAAAAGTATTTACAAAACAAAAAAATTTTTTCACATATTTCTTTCACATTGAAATGAATCTAAAGGTTTGAAAAAAAAATTGTAAATTGCGTGAGTATTTTTTTTTTTGTTACATCTCGTGGAATTTGAAATTTTGTTTATTTAATACACCCTCTACACTCAGAGAAATGGTATATTTGTCTCCGAGCCTACTAACTCATTTATTTGTTGCAAATATATTTTATTTCATTTAAATAAAAAATTTATTTGAGCCAAAGAAAAATTTATTTATGACAAATAAAATTTTTATTTACGCCAAATAAATAAGTTAGTAGGCTCTGAGACAAATATTTGTTTATTTAATTCAAATATATTTTATTTAATTTAAATAAATCATTTCTCTGGGTGTAAATCTGAATTAGTAAAAATGTTTACTGATTTGAATTAGTGACTTACTTTTTGCTTCTCAATTAGTAAAATTCTACTAATTATTAGTAACTTTTACTAACAATTAGTAAAATTTTACTAATTTTACTAATTCAGAAGCAAAAATTGAGTCACTAATTCAAATTAGTAAACATTTTTACTAATTCAGATTTATACCCAGAGAAATGATTTATTTGAACCAAATAAAATATATTTGAGTTAAATAAACGTATATTTGTCTCAGAGCCTAATAACTTATTTATTTGGCGTAAATAAAAATTTTATTTGTCAGAAATAAATTTTTCTTTAGCTCAAATAAATTTTTTATTTCAATGAAATGAAATATATTTGCAACAAATAAATGAGTTAGTAGGCTCGGAGACAAATATACCATTTTTCTGAGTGTAGAGAGTGTATTATATATTTTTTTTTGTTAGGTTATATGCAAAAATTTTGTTTACGAGAGTTATACTTAAGCCTTGACATTTCTGGTTTATTGCGATCACAACATGTACATTTCATTACTGGCCGAATTAGTTTATTTTTCTCAATATAATCCTGTTAACCTTCCTAGAATATGGATTAGAAAACCATTAAGATAACTCTTTTTTTCTACACACATATATATTGATTGTCATTAAGAATTAATACATTTTAATGTTCTTACAAATTGATTTATTTTAATTTTATGCACATACAGAAGCATATTTCCTTATGGGGATCATATTTATCTTGAACACGAGAGAAATGTCACGTTTTAAAGGTGAAAAAAATTTAGAACAAAAAAAAAAAATGATGAATTTTTTTTATTTATAAAAAAAAATGAATTTTTATTTCAAAAATTAGTAACTATGAAATCTTTATCTGAAATAGCGATGCGTTTCTCTAGAATAGAGAAAAGATTCTCTGTTTTAGTGAAACATATATAGCTGCTTCAGTGAAACTTATCGATGTTTTAGGTAAAGATTTTTTTCATGCGGTTTCTTCATTGTGACTGAAAAATTATTTAAAATATTAATTATTAATTAAAAATTGACAAAAAAATTAATAATTATTTAAAATATTAATTATTAATTAAAAATTTACAAAAAAAATTAATAATTATTTAAAACATTAATTATTAATTAAAAATTTACAAAAAAAAAATTAATAATTATTTAAAATAATAAATTGTAATTTGAATATTTAAAAGAGAATAAAATACCACAATAATTAGTGTAAAAGAAAAATTATTAGTGTGAAAATAAAAAAAAAAAGATTTTATTTTCAACACAGAAGAATCAAATTGCTATAATATTCCATTGTGATGCAAAATTGTAGGCAATGAAATGAAAAAAAAAAAAATTAGAGTTCTTGTATCATCGATCATGGAAATGAATTGTCTTCACAAGTGCATAGTATACGAAGAGCACTTGAAAGAGCTTTCAGAGATTTTCAAGTATGATGTCGACTTTTCCTTCTTCGAAAGGAATACCAGAAATAGAGGAGAAATTAAAGAAAAGACAATGCTGAATTTATGACTGAAGTTTACTCTCGAGTGTTGATTGTACCTTTTCTGAATGTCCGGATTGTTATATAAACTAGCCATATATATATACCTAATAGTAGTGGAAATTCTGCAAGCAAAATTTAATTACCATGTCAAGGACGAATTCAATTTTTTTTCTTATTTTATATTTATATTTATATATAGATATAGATATAGATATAGATATATATGGAAACAAAAATATTTTAAAAAATTAAAAGGTTAGATGACCTTTAAATTTATTTATCTACCTTAAAGAATCGATTTCACTGATTTTGCTTTAGATATAATGAAAAAAATAAAAAAAAAAAAATCAATTACGGAATTACAGTCAAAGCTCTAGAAAAGCTTCTCGTTTTAGATTTAAGAAATGGACAAGTTCAACGGGAAATCGACTTAGTGCAAAGAGTATAAGAAAACTTTATCCACGAAGGTGAAATATTTATTTTCGAGTTAACTTATATTTATTTCAACTTCTTGTTTACAAGTATATTTGGTTGTTTTTGTTGAATGAAAAATTCTTTTACTTGAATTTTTTTTTTTTTTTTTTAATAATGGAGAAAAAAATTTGATTTAAGTTGAAAAAAAGAATTTTTCTATAATTAAAATTTGAAATTTTTTTTCAGCTTTTTTCGAATTTGAAAATTTAGCAATTCTTTCATTCCTTATATTTAAGGAGTACTTTTTGGATTTTTAAAATTCTGTTCGAATTTTCATATAAGTGAAATAATATTTAAATTTTCGGAGGAGTAATTTAAATGTAACCGCAATAACAAAAGAATTTGTTTTGTTGTGGATCTCGCAATTATTCCAAGTGGTTTTGTTTACATTCTCCGCGGGTCAAACACAAAGGAAATCGTGTCTTAAATTGTAAAGGGATTCCAAATTTATTAGTTGCAATTCGTGTTTCGACCAGTTTAGACGCGATTTATTGCCTTGCCTTTTTTATTTCAAAACTGTGGGAGAAAAATTATTTTTACAATTATTTTATTTTTAGTTCTCTTCTTTTTTGTGTTTATAAATGTGATTTTTGAATTTAAAAAAATTTTCAAATTAATAATTTTTAAGTAAACAAATTTTTTCGGGAGTTTTTGAATTGAGTGTGTGTTTGTGTTTTTGTTGTAGAAAAATGCTGTTCACGAGTGACGATCAAAATGGAAATCAGGATTACATAATGCGGCGATTTTAAGGTATGAAATATTTAATTTTTTTATAATTTGAATAATTGTAATTTTTTTCCATGTTTTATTTATTTCAATAATTGTATAGAGGGACTTTATCCGCGTTAAAAAGTACCTCCCCTCCCTTTTCCCCCTCGTTTTTAGTAGAATGTAACATTTAAATAATTTATCTTTCAGTACAAGTGTAAATAATTTAATATTCAACATTTTGAACAATTGAATGTTGCATTTTAATAAGAATTGCAAAATTTTAACAGAATACAGGTATGACAATATAAAATTTAAAAATAATTTTCTTAATTTTTATTCGAAATTTTAATTATTCAAATTTAAAAAAAAAATTGCTTACACTTTTATTGAAAAATTGTTTATTTAAAATTACTTTTTTTTTTAATTTAAAAATACGAATATGGAAAGTTTTCCGAACAATAGTAATAATAATAACAATATTATTAATAATAATAATTATAATAACAACAATAATAATATTAATAATAATAATAATAATAATAATAATAATAATAATAATAATAGTAATAGTAATAATAATAGGACTTTGAACAAAAAAAAAAGAATTCGAAAAATTCAACTAAAGTAAATGTCCGGACTAAAATTAAATGTTTTATAAACAAGAAACGAAAAGAATCAAAGTTGAAAATAAAATGAGAGCAGAGGAGGTTTCGTGTTGAAAGTTTTCTTTTAACTTTGTCTCATTGCTATATATATATATATATATACGTGGTATATAACACGAAAAGATTTTACACGGTGTCATTTGGACGTGTTTCAGTAACTTCTCATGATCCCTTGACACACGCACGTACACATGTTCCGCTTACAAAAAAAAACTTTTTTCGACAAAAGAACAGAAAAATGTCGAGAAAGAGAGTTTAAACTTTGAATTAAATTCAAAGTTTGCAAAAAAAAAAATTCAATTTATTGCATTTGTCATCAAAATATAAAATTTGTTATTATATTTTTCCATTGACGCGCAGACGATTTATAAAAAGAAAATTTTCATTTTACCAAATTTCGAAATTTTTTTTTTTTGGGGGGAATTTATTTAAAATATAAATATACAGTCGACCCTCCCAATAAAGCCGGTCTACGCGGAAAGGGGAAGCATTTTTCGTGGAACTCAAGTTCCCCCACTACTCATGCTTCCTAGCTGCGAAAAGTTTTCCGCACACTATCTCAATAATGCCGGCGCATTATTACAAAAAATATACATGTGTAAGAGAACAAAAAGTTGTTTTGCTTAGCGGCTCTATTGGGAGACAGGTAGATCAAATTCAAGCGACGGACTTTCTGGCGCGTGAGTGGGGGTACGAGTTCGAGCGTCAAGTGGAGAAACGGCTTTATTGAGAGCGGCTTTATTGGGAGGGTTGACTGTAATAAAATAATAAAAACAATAAGATAATGAAAATATGAGTTATTTTTAACTATTTCATATGCCAAATATAAGTAATAATAAAAAGAAAAATCTGAATATTATGGGTTATATATTAATGATTATTTATGTAAATGAGCGATATATCGGGGATAAAAGAAGAAAAAGTATAAAAATAGGCGGGGAAAAAAAGTACAAAGTATATACAATTTCAATGTCGAGAGAATAAGTAAAACTCTCGCATTGCAGATAATATTCATGTCCTCGATCTCTCCTTTTTTTTTTCTTTTGCTCTCACTCTCTCAACACACATACACATATACGTGAAACGACATTGAAATTTCTAAAGCACAAGCCAACAAGTAATGGTTACGGGAGTTATGTGTGCATAGCATGTCATGCCAGTGTGTCTGACAATGAGAAAACCAAGTCTTATAATACTTGGGCAAAAGATTTCAGATATGTATCCTTCTCAGGAAGTTGTCTTTATTTCCTCTTCTTTTCCTTATGGTTCTATATATATATATAAATTCTTCTGTATTTTCACCTTTTTCGTTTCCTCAGATTGCGCTTTCAAATGTCTATATATTGAAAACACAAAATCTGACGTTGCAGAAAATCGAACTTGAATGCACACTTGAAAAAGAAATTTCTTTCAAATATCCACTCAATAAAAGTTTATCACAAACTTACTCAAAATTTATATATATATATATCTGCACTTTATTTGAGAATTTATGTATAGAAATTAATTATTTAGGATTTTGAAACAAGTTTTTGGAATTTTTATTTTAGATATTAAAATCCGATTTATAGAGGATTCGGATAAAATATTTACATTATTTTTTTGATTAGTTTTAGGATTAATTTTAAATGGTTTTCTATTTTATAGAATTTGAATTTATTACTTCTATTTTGTTTATAGAATCAGAACGTTAAAATGTTTTTAGTTTAGAATCGGAATATTAGTTGGGTGATGTGAATTTAATTTATTAGAATTTAGTATAATATTTATGGAGTTTAGTTAAAATACAAAAAATTAAGAATATTTTTAAATTTTTTTTCGTTTCAGGGATCACTCTCTAAATCTGAATTAGTAAAAAAGTTTACTAATTTGAATAAGTGACTTAGTTTTTGCTTCTTAATTAGTAAAATTTTACTAATTATTAGTAACTTTTACTAACAATTAGTAAAATTTAACTAATTCTAAAACAAAAAGTGAGTCACTAATTTAAATTAGTAAACATTTTTACTAATTCAGATTTAGAGAGCAGGACTAGAACTATTTATTAAGTTTTGAAATTTTAGTTTTAGAATCAGGATGAAGGAAAATATTAGTTTGGTGAATTTATATTAGGACTAATTTTATAGAATTTATTAGGATTCTCTCTAAATTTGAATTAGTAAAATTTTTAACTAATATTTAAATTAGTGACTCACTTTTTGTTTTTGAATTAGTAAAATTTAACTAATTCAAAAGTTAAAAAGTTTTTAAAAAAAACTACCAATCTCGAAATATAAATATAAAATATTTTATTAGGTTATTAAAATCCTATTTAGAACTTTGGTAAAATCCAGATTATTTTTAGAATTAATTTTAGAATCAATTTTAAAATCAGTTTTAAAATCAGTTTTAGAATCAGTTTTAGAATCAGTTTTAGAATCAGTTTTAGTATCAGTTTTAGAAAATTTTAGTTTATGAAAAATATTAGTTTCAATAGAAAGAAAATAAATGAAATGAATGTCATAATTAAAAATTGGAAATGTTTATTGCTTGCATATATTGATAAAGCCACTTAACGTATTTAATACATTAAAACGGATATATATAAATAACAATGATTAATATAATGCTATTTTGGCAGTTGAAAAGTAAAATTGGCAACATTTTCCATGTTCTTGTGTAAAATAACGTCGAGTGACATTATTTCATCATGTAAAATTGTTCATAGAGCATATATATATATATTTGCCAACAATGAATATTTATGTCTTTCATGTTGCGATTTTTTGCAACAATAAAAAAATTGTGTTTTCTTTGGCAAAAAAAAAAATCGTTTGAGAATTTTTCCCTCCTATTTTCGAATACTATTCAATGAATTTAGAAGCAAGAGCGTTTAGAACAATGTTTTTGGAACACACACACACACAAGTAAAGCCGTTGAATGCTGGACACGTTTCAACACTTATAAATCGTTAAAAAAAAAAAAAATTCTTTTGCAGTAAAAAAAATATTTCCTACTTTTTGAAAAAAAATTTTTACAGATGTAAAAATCGTAAAAGAATTTTTTTAATAATAATTATAATAATTTGGAAGACAGTTAAATTTTATGGTCCGTACTTATTTTTTCTTTGGGGCATTGTTAAAAAGAGGATGAAAAAAAAAAAAAAAAAAAAGAGTTGAAGGACTCACCATTTTCGATGTTTAACTCAATCGCTGATCTGTAATTGGGCCTGCCATAATCGCTGGCATCGCTTGGGTGTAGTAAAAGTTGATGAGAGGTTCTCGAATGATGTCTCGATGTGGACATTCGATGTTGGTGAATGCTATTCAGTATAGTATTACTTGACGCTCTACTCAAGGCTTCCTTTTGTCTCACAGCTTCCTTGTAGATTTTACAGTACATAATAATCATGACAATTCCTGGTATCCAGAATGATACTGACGAGCTTATCAATGCAAATGGTCGATTCACAGCAAAGATGCACACCTGATCGATATTATATATATGTATATATATAACACACAAAGATTCAGGCTAAACTTGTCACTTTCATTCCACTTTTCAAATATTGTTTCCTCTTTTGCTAGAGAAAGGAAATTGAGCTTGGGGCCATGTTGCAAACAAAATGGCATTGAAAATCGTGTCATATCGCAAATTTTAGATCACAAAATTTGGGACACGTTTATTACCAAAGCTCGTAATTCTTAGCAGTTTATTATTTTTATTTTTTATCAGGGACCGTTATTAAAAAAAAATTTGGAAATATTCAAAAATTAGGAAAACTTTTTTTTTTTTAATTCTATAGAAGATAAAGAAAATCAGTTAATTTACAGTCAGGGAAAAAGTTTATTTAAAAATATTTTTGTTTGTATTAATTTCGTGGCTCAGGACCGAAAGCCTTATAGTTTCGCTTTGGTGTCCGTCCGTCTGTCCGTCGTACACTCGTATGGTTGCCATGGTAACAGTTACCTTAGCAACAGCTTCCATAGCAACTATTACCACAATAACTGTTACAATAGCAACTGCTACCAAAGCAACTGTTACCATAATAACTGTTACCATAGCAACTGTTACCATAGCTACTGTTACCATAATAACTCTTACCACAGCAACTGTTACCATAATAACTGTTACCATAGTAACTGTTGCCACAGTAACTTCTGCCATAGTAACTAATTGTTACCATAGTAACTTTTGTCATAGTAACTAACTGTTACCATAGTAACTATTGCCACAGTAACTTCTGCATAGTAACTAACTGTTACCATAATAAATGTTACCACAGCAACTGCTACCAAAGCAACTGTTACTATAGCAACTGTTACTATAGCAACTGTTACTATAGCAACTGTTACCATAGCAACTGTTACCATAGCAACTGTTACCATAGCTACTGTTACCATAGCTACTGTTACCATAGCAACTGTTACCATAATAACTCTTACCACAGCAACTGTTACCATAATAACTGTTACCATAATAACTGTTACCATAGTAACTAACTGTTGCCATAGTAACTATTGCCACAGTAACTTCTGCATAGTAACTAATTGTTACCATAATAACTGTTACCATAATAAATGTTACCATAGCTACTGTTACCATAATAACTCTTACCATAGCAACTGTTACCATAGCTACTGTTACCATAATAATTCTTACCACAGCAACTGTTACCATAGTAACTGTTGCCACAGTAACTTCTGCCATAGTAACTAATTGTTACCATAGTAACTTTTGTCATAGTAACTAACTGTTACCATAGTAACTATTGCCACAGTAACTTCTGCATAGTAACTAACTGTTACCATAATAAATGTTACCACAGCAACTGCTACCAAAGCAACTGTTACTATAGCAACTGTTACTATAGCAAATGTTACTATAGCAACTGTTACTATAGCAACTGTTACTATAGCAACTGTTACTATAGCAACTGTTACTATAGCAACTGTTACTATAGCAACTGTTACTATAGCAACTGTTACTATAGAAACTGTTACCATAGCAACTGTTACTATAGCAACTGTTACCACAGCAACTGTTACCATAGCTACTGTTACCATAGCAACTGTTACTATAGCAACTGTTACTATAGCAACTGTTACTATAGCAACTGTTACTATAGCAACTGTTACTATAGAAACTGTTACCATAGCAACTGTTACTATAGCAACTGTTACCACAGCAACTGTTACCATAGCTACTGTTACCATAGCTACTGTTACTATAGCAAATGTTACTATAGCAACTGTTACTATAGCAACTGTTACTATAGCAACTGTTACTATAGCAACTCTTACCATAGCAACTGTTACCATAGCTACTGTTACCATAATAATTCTTACCACAGCAACTGTTACCATAATAACTGTTACCATAAGAACTGTTACCATAGTAACTGTTACCATAGTAACTAACTGTTGCCATAGTAATTAACTGTTACCATAGTAATTGTTGCCACAGTAACTTCTGCCATAGTAACTAACTGTTACCATCACAGAAAATTAAAAGGCATTAAAATAAGCTGCAACGCTTATTATTTTAATCCAATTTTGCTTATTTTAATCCATTTTGGTATTAAAATAAGCAAAATTGGATTAAAATAATAAGCGTTGCAGCTTATTTTAATGCCTATTAATTTTTGTGATAGTAACTTCTGCCATAGTAACTTTTGCCATAGTAACTAACTGTTACCATAGTAACTTTTGACATAGTAACTAACTGTTACCATAGTAACTATTGCCACAGTAACTTCTGCATAGTAACTAACTGTTACCATAATAACTGTTACCATAATAACTGTTACTATAGAAACTGTTACTATAGAAACTGTCACTATAGCAACTGTCACTATAGCAACTGTTACTATAGCAACTGTTATCAGAGAAACTGTTACCATAGTTACCATTTGGTTGATCCAAACAAAATTTCGGTATTTCAAGGAAATTTTTTTCTTCGTTTATTTATTTACAAATTTTTTAAATGCCGGTCCCTGATTTTTTTTCTAAATAGTAAAAATATTTATAATACTATTAATTAATTAATAATAATACTGTAATAATTATTTTATTTACTATAACATTAATTATTATATTAATTATTGAATAATAATATTTTTACTAGTTTTTAAAAAAGTGTTTCTTTTAAAGTGATTGAAAATAATTTATCCATTACAAATTTGAGTAAATTGATTAGCATTTATTATTATTACTATTATTATTATTATTATTATTATCATCCACCTGCACAGAGGAATGGTGAGAAAACAAAAGTGAATTATGTACACTGGACAAGAAGCCATCTTGCGATTCTAGTTAATTAGTTGATTAGTTGACAGGCGGATATTGGAAATCGTGATGAAAACTGCTCTAGTGGCAGGGAATTTTGCGCAAAAAGCTTTTTCTTTGTCGGAAGCAACTGTGTGAAGGAAATGACACCTCTATATATTATATATATTATAAAGAAGAAGAAGAAAAAGATTCTTGATGAAGTTTAATTAATTTTTTTTTCCCTCCATGAGAAAAAGTATTATATTTTTCATTCGAAAATTTTCAATTTATATTTGATAATTCGCATATTATGAGGGAAATTTTTTGCAGAAAAAAAATTAAAAGTGGAAATTTCTATTGATAATAAATTAATTATTCAATAATTGATATTTGGTACAATTAGATTATTATTATTATTATACTAAATTGTTTAATTTAATTATTTAATATTGTCAATTTTGCGTAAATTGGAAATTTTTCTTTTTTAGTATTCAAAAGTATTAGTTTCCTTCTGTGTTCATCCTGTTTATCTTTTTTCTCGCATCAGTGACACACAAATCTGCGGAAAAAAGAATAACATATATACACTGTGTGACGAGTAAGTCTCGTGGGTATATATATTGAAAAGGAAACATTCTCTCTCTCTCTCTTTCATAGTTCTCACTGTACAAGAATGACATTCAAGATGGATTATCTGTTTTATACCGCATTCAGATGTCACATGCTATTCATTTACTTTTCACGTAAATACTTGAACAAAATGTAATGAAGAATTTAAATTGAAAATATTCTGCAAACAAGAGAATGATTCAATGTCCCAGTTATGTTATTATTATATTAATTTGCAATGAATCTTCTTTTTCTTTCTCATTTTCTATTTTTATTCATTTTTCTCTAAAAATAAATTTTTTTTTTGATTTTATTGACAAGAAAAAAACATGAATATAAAATTGTTTTTCAAATACAATAAGGTTTGCAATTTTTCTTTTTTGGTAATGGTCCAAGATAATTTGAGGTCATATCAAGAAAAAAGAAAGCAAACTCACTGAGGCACGTAATTGATTTACACGATGTCGAAAATAAAAAATTCAGCGACTCGAATTCGTAATGAGGATCATTTTCGTAATTCTTATGTGTATAAAGAAAAAAAAAAAAAAAGAATGACGCGCCTTTTATGTATAACAAGTCTCAAAGTAAAAAGAATCTTTTATTTAACAATTTTTAATGTGAAATTAATTGGAATCTTCAAAAAAAAGGATAGTAAAAAGTTGTTGGAAAAATGCTATTAGTTGAATGAGACAATGGATGGAAAAAAAAAAGTTTGAAACTGAATGTAAACATCTACGACAGCGATTTGACCCACTTCCGGGCTACTTTGTCGAAGACCCTTATTTGTTTTTCTGCTTTGACGAAATGTCAATATATATATATATAGTTCGAGGCTTGGTATTAGCCATCTGTTTATATTTGTTTTTGTAACAGTAGGAATTTGTTGCAAAATCAAAGAAGCATTGCATGAGATTTCAATTCGCAATTTTATTATGTAAAAGTGCTTCGCTTTAGTTATCTCAATTAAGTCAGTTGTGAGGATTACATCAGTCTCTGAGATAATATTGTACATATTTCAATATGGCTTCTCTTGATTAGACAAACCAATAGGAACTTGATTGCTTATAGTAAGAGAGAGAGAGAGAGCCCTTAGGAATTTCTGTTATGTTTATTTCCAATAACGCAAAATTGATTATATTATTGCAAAATTAACATGAAGGGCATTCCATCTGAAATTGATAAATCAAGCCTCACATTTTCTTCATATTTTAAATAACTTGGAGTATAAAAAATTAATTATTCCAAGTTTGTTTAAAAATTGTTTTGCGAAAATATTGCAAAAAAATTCAATTAAAGAATTTGAGAATTCAAGAAAGAAAAATATTTGGAACAGAGGGTTTAAAAAATGAAAATAAACATTCTTTTTAAACATCATTTCCTCCGTGCAGAGTGTATTAAGAGAAAAAAAAAAAAAATACAAGAATCAGGTAAATACACAAACCTGTGGATTGTCTCTGAGAAATTCTAAATGCTTCTCAGTGGAATACCATCCCATGAAAATTGGAATGAAACTGATGAGTGCAGGCAGTGTCCATGCGCTTGCCAACATGCACGTGACAGTGATTCTCTTCATAATTGCCGGATACTCAAGGGGTCTTAATATTGCATAATATCTATCGACACTGATACAACAAAGATGTAAAATCGATGCAGTTGAAAAATAAACATCCAATGAATTCCACATGTCACACATGAAACGACCAAATATCCATTTACCCGATAATAAAACAGATGCATTAAAACTCATTGCACAAATAGCAACAAGTAAATCAGCAGCTGCCAAACTAACCACATAACGATTAGTTGGTACACGTAATTTTCTATGTCTTCTTACACTTGCAATAACTAAAACATTACCAAGAATTGCCGTGACAATTATATTTATAATCACCACACCTTTAAGAATCAATAAAATTATATTACGATTCTCATTATCATCATTATCGACATTTTCAATAATTTCAAAATCGCTTAATTTATTTTCCGTTAATGTTGGTTCAATTAATTTTGTCAATAATAATTGACTTATATTTCTCGTTAAGATCTCACGATCAATGTTGCCTGAATTTGATTCAGTTACGACTTCCATTCCTTGAGGGTGGCCCACTCATGACCAAGTGTCTTTTATGATGTGTGATCCAATTTCGTGATTTGATGATGATAATGATCAAGATGTGTTTAGAGACCCTTTGAGGGCAGTCAACTCGGAGGAATGAAAGGATCATACCGACGGTCGATGACATACGAACTCATGCCAGACGAAGAGGACACAAGGGAAATCGAAAAAAAAAGACCGCACTTCCTTCCACAGTGAAAAAAGTCTTAACTTTTTTGGCAAATTTTTGAGAAATAAGAGAATTTAAAAACGATGCACTTTGTGTGTTACCACTGTGGCGTACCTAACGAAAATACCAAGTTGCTATGAATAAATTCTCTCCTTTCACATATATATAAAATGAAGAGAGACGATTTCACTCCACAAATTAAAGATTTCACTCACGTTTTTTGACTGGTCCGAAATGAATGAGTGTCGGACAAGTCTCCGACGAATGAGGCTGTGTCCCTCGTGGTCATATTAATAAAGATACGTCACACGCTTGCCAAGTTTTGGAAGGCATTTCAATGCCAACCCTCATCACCATTATTCCGGGGACTGATTAGTCTGCATAATTAATGTCCCTTGAGAAACAATACACATGGCATTATTGCGATTTTCTATATTATTATTATTATTATTACTATTATTGGTATTTTTATTATTATTATTTTTTGAATTATTTAAACTGCATTATAAATCCTTATCATAATTTCGAACTTTTAATGATTGCATCATTTTCGAGGACAAATTTCACAATTGGGCTTTCCAAGCACATCGTGTATAACCTTGATGCTTTCAAGTCCAAGTGAATTCGTCGCTTGCCGCTTTGGTATTATATAGAGATAGTTGCACAATCGAGAGGCTATTATCAACCACTGAAGCCGATGGTCCCAGTTTCTCATACCACGGACCTCCATCGATCGCTATTTCTCATTCCCACTCTCTTGTGGCGTTGTTGTTTTTTTCCTGTGTGTTTGTAAAAAAAAACACTGTTTATATAAAGTACATTAAACCGTGTCACAAAAGTTAAATTTGAAAAAAAATAATTAATTTTTTATTTATAAAAAAAATGTATGGAAAAATATATATTTTTTTAATGTTCGGAAAAGAAGGAAGAATTATTTTTTTTTACTCTCTAAATCTGAATTAGTAAAAATATTTACTAATTTGAATTAGTGACTCACATTTTGCTTTATAATTAGTTAAATTTGACTAAATTGTTAGTAAAAGTTACTAATAATTAGTCAAATTTTACTAATTGTTAGTAAAAGTTACTAATACCAGTGCAGAAATTTTGCCAGGGCCCAAATCGGGGCCGAATCAGGCTGCCCTATTAGGGAATGAAATGCCGCACCTGATGTGGCTCTGATTAGTAAATCCACATTTTCTGATCGCCCTGATTTGGTCCTGATCAGGTGTAGCGTTTCATACCCTAATAGGGCCCTGATAGGTCAATTTCTACATGGGTAATTAGTCAAATTTTACTAAATTGTTAGTAAAAGTTACTAATAATTAGTCAAATTTTACTAAATTGTTAGTAAAAGTTACTAATAATCAGTAAAATTTTACTAATTGCTACTAAAAGTTACTAATAATTAGTAAAATTTTACTAATTGCTACTAAAAGTTACTAATAATTAGTAATATTTTACTAATTGTTACTAAAAGTTACTAATAATTAGTAAAATTTTACTAATTCAGAAGCAAAAAGTGAGTTGACTAATTCAAAGTAGTAAACATTTTTACTAATTCAGATTTAGAGAGTATTAAGAAAAATTCTGAATTTTCTACTTCTAATGAAATTCAATTTATTTTAATTTAAAATATGTCATATATATATATTTTTGTGAACACCATGTTTATATGTACATTACAAAATTATTTTGATATTTAAAGTCGGATTACGTGAGTTGGATAGGATTTTGCATATATTACAAGAAGCACTAATGATCTTTTCACAAATTCTAATTTCGAATTTATAATTGCAATTAAAAGTTTACTTTTTAAGGGAAATATTTTTTGTAAATTCTAAATTTAAAAATTAAATTTTCTAAATTCATGCACTAGTTGACAAAATTAAAAAAAAGAAAAATATATATATAATTCGTATACGTAGAAAAAATTAATGTAAGAAAATTATATTTTAAACTAATAGAATTAAAATCTTAATCCCTGCATTTTTTATGTCACTTTATATTAACCCGCGTGAAAAACGAACTATGGGAAAAAGCTATCAAAAGCTGGCAAAAGATGGGAGAAGATTTTCGCCATTGTTTTTAAGTTTTATCCCATACTTCAAAGAATTGCAAAAAGCTCACAAACCATTGCTTATGAGCCTTTCCCATACTTTTTTTTAATATCATATAACATTGCTAAAATCTTGCCAAAGTATTGCAAAAATATGGGAATAAAATAAAGTCAATTTTTTCTAACTTACTTCTTATTTTTCTCATTTTTTTTCTGAAAATCATTGCAAAACAATGGGAAAAAGATTAAGAAAGAAAAAATTTATTTTTCTCATTTTTTCATCTTTAAAAATTAGATTTTTAAAGTATTGCTAAAACCTGGCAAAAACATACGAACAAAATTAATCAATTTTTCTCGTTATTTTAGCTTTAAAAATCTGATTTTTGAAGTATTGCAAAAATATGGGAATAAGATTTTGAAAGAAAAAATCAATTTTCCCTCGAATTTTCCTCTATTTTTCAACTTTAAAAATTTGATTTTTAAAGTATTGCAAAAATATGGGAAAAAGATTTTGAAAGAAAAAATCAATTTTCCTCTATTTTTCAACTTTAAAAATTTGATTTTTAAAGTATTGCAAAAATATGGGAAAAAGATTGGTAGTGAAAAAATCAATTTCCCTTATTTTTTAAACTTTAAAACTTTGTTTTTTAAAGTATTGCGAAATCATTGGAAAAAGATTGGAAAGAAAAAATCAATCTTTCTCGATTTTTCAGCTTTAAAATTTTGATTTTTAAAGTATTACAAAAATATGGGAAAAAGATTTTGAAAGAAAAAATAAATTTCCTCTAATTTTCAACTTTAAAAATTTGATTTTTAAAGTGTTGCAAAAATATGGGAAAAAGATTTTGAAAGGAAAAATCAATTTTCCCATATTTTTGCAATACTTTAAAACTCAAATTTTTAAAATTGAAAAATAGAGGAAAATACTTTAAAAATCAAATTTTTAAAATTGAAAATTAGAGGAAAATTGATTTTTCCTTTCAAACTCTTTTTCCCATATTTTTGCAATACTTTAAAAATTAAATTTTTAAAGTTGAAAAATAGAGGAAATTTGATTTTTCCTTTTAAAATCTTTTTCCCATATTTTTGCAATACTTTAAAAATTAAATTTTTAAAGTTGAAAAATAGAGGAAAATTGATTTTTTCTTTCCAATCTTTTTCCCATATTTTTGCAATACTTTAAAAATCAAATTTTTAAAGTTGTAAAATAGAGGAAAATTGATTTTTCCTTTCAAAATCTTTTTCCCATATTTTTGCAATACTTTAAAAATCAAATTTTTAAAGTTGAAAAATAGAGGAAAATTGATTTTTTCTTTCAAAATCTTTTTCCCATATTTTTGCAATACTTTAAAAATCAAATTTTCAAAGTTGAAAAATAGAGGAAAATTGATTTTTTCTTTCAAAATCTTATTCCCATATTTTTGCAATACTTCAAAAATCAGATTTTTAAAGCTAAAATAACGAGAAAAATTGATTAATTTTGTTCGTATATTTTTGCCAGGTTTTAGCAATACTTTAAAAATCTAATTTTTAAAGATGAAAAAATGAGAAAAATAAATTTTTTCTTTCTTAATCTTTTTCCCATTGTTTTGCAATGATTTTCAGAAAAAAAAATGAGAAAAATAAGAAGTAAGTTAGAAAAAATTGACTTTATTTTATTCCCATATTTTTGCAATACTTTGGCAAGATTTTAGCAATGTTATATGATAAAAAAAAAAGTATGGGAAAGGCTCATAAGCAATGGTTTGTGAGCTTTTTGCAATTCTTTGAAGTATGGGATAAAACTTAAAAACAATGGCGAAAATCTTCTCCCATCTTTTGCCAGCTTTTGATAGCTTTTTCCCATAGTTCGTTTTTCACGCGGGAATTTATTCCAAATAAAATTTTTATTTCTAAATTTTATTTATTTAATAACATTTAATTGCAAATTCAAAATAAATGATAAAATTATTTTAATTTAGATTTTATCTCACGTTTCGGTCACAATAATAATTTTTTTTTTTTTTTTCAATTTTTGTTTTCATTTTAAACCAAGTTTCTAAGGTCATCTTTGTGTAAGCGATCAAAAGCAATGTTCAAAGGGTTCTAATTAATTGCGGCTTAATTAAGCGTCAGTTTAGCAGCGACGCTTGTGCTGACGCCAAGAATCGGTTGTCAACACAAGAACAGGTGCTGCACGCATGTATGTGATATATGTATGTTTAGTTATAATCACATATACTTTTAAAAATGAGTATATACAATGCAAAAGAGAAAATTTTTGTCCTTCCTTTTAAAAAAAAAAAAAAAAAAAATACACACACTAGAAAGTTATAAAGAAAAAAAAAATCTTTTCGTTACTTGTGAAATTAATTACAATTTCTGACATAAATATTTTACACGTGGTATAATTACTATAATTATACGCATACTTAGGAAGTTGAGCTTTTAACGCTATTTCATGTATCATTAAACACGCAATCTCTTTCCATCACACTGAAAGAAAATAATTAGCATATTTTATAAAAAAAAAAAAGTGGATTTTTAAAATAAAAGAGATTTTTTAAAAGCGAATTTCATTAATTAAAATAAAAAGAAGAATTTTTTAAAATTTTTACTTCAGATTCCAACCAGAGAAATGATATAATTTGTCTTAGAGACAGATAAATTTTTATTTGATTTAAATAAAAAAATTTTATTTTCGCCAAATATAAATAGGCTGTGAGACAAATATACGTTTAGTTAACTCAAATATATTATACTTGGTTTAAATTAAAACATTTCTCTGGGTATCGTAATCAACGGCCCGAAGAAATTAATTCTATTTTGATAAAAAAAGGTCAGCCATATTGTATCCGCCATTTTGAATTTTTTAATATACACCCAGAGAAATATTTTATTTGAACCAAATATAATATAATATTTGAGTTAAATAAACGTATATTTGTCTCACAGTCTATTTATTTGGAGTAATAAAATTTTTTTATTTAAATCAAATAAAAATTTATTTGAATCAAATAAATATTTATTTGAATCAAATAAATATTTAATTGAATCAAATAAATATTTATTAGGCTCTGAGACAAGTATACCATTTTTTTTGGGTTACAAGATTAACTTATAAAAAGAAACTTGCATTAATTTTTGTGTTCAAAAAAAAAAAAAAACTGTTGAACTGTAGCGAAAAAGATCCGTTTTGTCGGGAGAATTCTTTTTTTTATATGTTGCAAAAGAAGAAAAAAAGAAAAAAGATATAATTTTCCACATTACACTTTGTATGAGAATAAATAAGAGAGACGAATGTATTTTATATAGAAATAATGGCTTTCTGGAGGTCAGCAGTTATAATAATCACCGATGAGTCAATCGAGTTATATATATTATATAACCTTCCAAAGAACCAGAATATAAACATTTTAAGTAAATTGCTACACATATATATATAAATATATAAAATGTTTAAGAGGAGCTTTTCCCTATTAACTCTTGATCGTGAAAAATGATCTCATATTTCAGCTGAAATTTCTCTATTTAAAAAAAAATATATATTCTTAATTTAAGAATAAAATTTTGCTTATTTAAAATAAATCTGTGGAATTTTATTCTTATTGAAATAGCTATTCTTAAATCTAAAATATGTTATATATAAATTAGAATAATTTTTTTTTCTTTTATCGCATGATGTAAAGACAATTTAAAATTATTTATTATTTTATTTATCTATATCGCAATGAATTTACACATTATTTATAAATAATATATATATAGGTATATATTGGTGTACATTAAGTGGAGAAATTTCGGAAAATATATTTGTTTTGGCTTTTATAATAAAGAGACTTGCCAGTAAAAATTGAATGACACATATGTTTTGCAGCACTTGATGAGATATTTATGCATTACTGATATATTGATTTAAAAATACGTATGAGTGATTCAAAACAAAAACACAACAACAAATATTATAAAGCATTTATTATTCCCTTTTTTTAAAAAACTTTTCCTCTCGGTTTGAGAGGAATTTCTCTTATTTATATATCAAATTAAAAATTTTAATCTTAAAAAATATATATATATATAATTTTCTTTCATAGGATTAATATTAAAAAACAATTTTTTTATTAAAATTTAAAATATTTTAACTGAAATTATCCTCTTAATACAAGAATATTGAATCTGAAGAATGAATTTTCCTCTCCTTGAGAGATTACTTTTCTTCTAGATGTAATAAATCTTTTTCTTTAAATTATTTATTTTGATTGAATATTATTTAAATATTTATAGTTTTGAAAATTAATATTGCAAGCTGCATGTATTTAATTAAAATTAATTAAGTCAAAATGAATGTCAGTATTAAATAGGCAACCCATCCTCAGATGTTACACATTCGTATTTCGGCCTCGCAGCTAAATCAGCACGCCTCTCATGTTGGTTATTAAAGTCTCAACATATATTGTGAAGTTATATTATATATATATATATATATATATATATATTTCTCTAAAGTATGAGCATACGTATAGTACAGGATGAAGGCAATTATTCTCATTTACTCATTTCTATAAGTTTAATAATTTACAGTCCACTTTTCAACCTGTTAAGAGTGAAATTATGACCGCCTAAAACACTAATTCTAACTTAAATAAGCGAGCTTCATTTACCACTAAATTATAATCTCTTTAAAAATTTCTAGTTTCCAGGACAAAATTTTTTTTTTTTTTAAATTAAAAAATCTCAGTTTTAACTTTCTCTTTGACTTTTTCCTTTACATAAAGAATATTATAGTTTTTTTTTCCTCCAAACATTTTTAGAATTCTTGTTTCATTTTTCAAAAATTTTTTTCTCTAAAACAGAAACTTCTTTCTAAAGAAAGTTTTTATAAAAAGGAAAAATAATTTTTCCTATAAAACACATTTGTGTGTGAAACAAAATTTAAAAAAAAAAAAAATTTTTCTCCAAAAAAGAAACTTTTCTAAAGAAAGAAAAAAATTTTAATAAAATGAAAAATAATTTTGTGTGAAACAATATTAAAAAAAAAGAAAATTTTGGATCAAAAATAAATTAAAGGAAAAAATAAGAGTGTACACCACCAAAAAAAAGTCATGAAAAATAATTTCAATTTAAATGGAAAAAAATTCAAATTTTTTTTTTTTATTTTTCAAAAATGTATTTTTCTGGGTTAATGTATATAAATAGAGATTGTATTTGCCTTTTCGATGAATTTTATCAATATTTTATAAAACTTTTATTCTTTTCAAGCTTCCTCCCGCATTTATTCTCTCGATAAATAGTGACTAATGAAAAATTCATGAATTTGCTTAAAAGAATATAAAAATTTTGCGGGCAACTTTTACAAAACCAAGTCTCTTTTGTTACACAAAAAGAGAAGCAAGTTTCGTTTTATATTATAAAATTCGTGTATGAAGGACAAGATCATTTATTTTCCAGTGGCCCTTTCACTCAAGGTGAATAAAATTCATTTTCCTTCTTCTCCATTTCCCTTTTTTTTTTCTTTTTTTTCTTGTGAAATTGAAAAATTTTCTTGGAAATTCATCTTAACGGGCATTTTTGTCAGTGTTTACAATATTTAACTTTTCTTTTTCAACAATAAAATATATTTTATTTGTTTAATAAGAAAATATTTCTTTGATTTAGAGAAAGTTTGAAAATTTTTTCTAATTTTTTTTTTCTGATTTTTTTGGCAAAAAAATTAATTTAATTGGAAAATGAATTTTTTTGAATGAAATTTTTTTTTATAATTTTTTTTGGGAAAAAAATTAATTTAATTGGAAAATGAATTTTTTTTTGAATGAAAATTTTTTTTCTATGATCGTCTAAATTTGTGATTATTATTATTATTATTATTATTATTTTTTTTTTATGAAAGTTTAATCCATTTTAAAGTGACCCTGCGGTTCCCTTGACACTGTCCGCGTGTGACCGCGATTTATGTTTATCTTTACGTTTTGCGCTCGAACTATTATAAACCATAAAGGCATACAAGTTCAAGAGAAGGAAATTTACATACTTCAATATTCATGTCGAGACCACTCCCACTTGCTTGTGTTTGCGGCGTGTTGAAAGAAAAATTGCACGAGAAAAACGATGCAAAGAGTTAAAAAAAAAAAAGGAGAGGAGAAAATAATTTGACCTTCGTCTTTTTCGTGTGAGAAAACAAAAGGAAAACGAGTTTTTTTTTATGTCATCGGTCCAAACTGGACCGCACTGAAAATTTTCCTCCAATTTGGAATAATTTCACACACTGAGATACAAATTATTCACTTATTTTTGCTAAAGGCAAAAATACTGTTTTTTCTTTTGTTGAATACTTCTAAAAATACTTTTTACTTTTTATCGTTATTTATTGTTTTAAACATTTTCAAATAAATATTTTTTTTCTAGCCTAATTTACAAAAGTAATTTTTAGTTTTTCTATTTAAAAATATTTTTCTAATATTATTTATTATTTTCAAAATTTATTGAAAAATTATTAAAATTTTTTTTTAAAAATTAATTATGAAATTAATTAATTAAATATTGGATTTAATAATATTTTACTTTGGAATTTATATTTTTTACATATGTAAATTTTTATATTAATCAAAATTAAAAAACAAAGTAATAAAACAATATGGGATGACTAAAACAGTAAATAGAGGTTTTTGGGTCAGAAAAATCTATAAGTAAAACTAGACGAAGTTGTAACATCCAGAAAACAATTTCATTTAATTAACCAAAAAAAAAAAATTTTTTTTTCAATTTTTATAACTAAAATTTAGGTCAATAAATTAAATTTTCTTTTGACAAAATTTGATGATGAAAATAAAAACAATAATCAAAAATATATATTTTAAATTAATTAATTACCATTTTTTTATTAGAGTATTTTAAAGTATTTTTCATTTTTTTGTAATTAATACTATTAAATATAAATTTATTTAAAATATTTAAAAAAAAATTATTTTGTCAAATTATTTTTTAACTTTATATTAAAAACAATATTTTAATGGTAAAATGAGAGACTAAAATAAAAATGATTCACGTTATATATATGTGATGGAAATTATTATTTTTTTTTTTTAGCGAAAAAAGTATTATTAAATATTTATTCTTTGAAAAATGTGCATCACTTTTGAACAACAATAATCAGAGAACATAAGCAAAAAAAAAAAAATCTTAAGTTCCCGCGCAGTGATGGATAAATTAATATTATGCATTCTGTACATGATTCATAATTGAACGCATAAAAATACCGTTGGTGAATAACAAAAAAAAAAAAAAATTTTATGTTTCTAATTATATACATTTTCCCGTCATTGTCTTGCATAAAACAATAAAACAAAAAGAATAGTAATAATATATATTAAAAAATAAAAGACAAACAAACACATAAAAAGCAAATAAAAATTGTTTACATTTTATAATTCAATAAAAACATTCAGAATGTTGTATAATAATAAAATAATAATGAAACCAATTTTTAAAATAAATAATAATTAATAATAATAATAATAATAATAATAATAATAATAATAATAATAATAATAATAATACTAATTAATAATGAAAATAATAATTTTTTTATTTTGCATGTATTATTATAATTAAATTAATTATTTCTGTATTAATTATATTCGCTAATTAGTTATTGCGTAAAGTTAAAAATTGATATAAAAAGGAAGCGCATCTTTCTTTTTCTAAATATAAAATAACAATGACTTGCTTCTTTTAAATATAGAACAGTTGGAATTTTTTTGTGGCGACAAATGAATATTTTTAGACTGTCTCTTTTTTTTTTTATTGATTGAAGGCAATTTCTTATATAGTGAATACATCTGAAATGGGCAGGGAAGTGAGAAAAAACTTTTTATACGTTGATTAAAGATTTTTTAAAAAAATGGAGGAATCGTAATCCGACTTATTGTAAACAGAGTTTTTTTTATATTTACATTATATATATATATATACCTGAGTATTATTTTCCCTTCTCTATATTGCACATTTTTTATTTTTAGTCCCACGTTTCATTGTTAATTATTGCAAACAAAAAAAAAGATTATTTCTAAATGAAATAATAATTAATTTTTTTCCTTTATTTTGTGATTCATGTTGTTTTTTTTTTGAGTTCTAAAAAAAAAAAATCGCGCGCGCATTTATTTTGAAATTCGTTAGTACCGATTATCTTCACTAGGATCGCACACAGGTTTTTGAGGTGTGAAGCGGGAAATTTAAATGAGATGTTAATTGCAATTCACCAGTTGACGCTACGTGTACGAAGTGCCGAAGTAGACTGAGCGTCGCGACGGCGCCTTGAGTATACGTAGTGGTAGGTGGTACTCACACATTCACATGTGATGTCTATAGATCAAATGTATATATATATTTATATATAGTTATAGATGTTAGACAAAGATGAAAAGCAGATGATTTTCCATAGAGTAAAAAAAAATATATATTTTTAACTCAGAATTAAATTAATATTTATTTAAAGAAAAAAAAAATTAATTATGTAAAGAGATCTTTGTAAGTAAAATTTAGAATATAAATTTGAGGGGACAAAAATCGTAGTTTTTTTTTCTTGTTTTGATAGATTAAAAATAAATTTTTTTTTCTGTTTGGAACTAAAAAGTTCTTTTATTTTTTTATTTTCTTAATATTTTTATTTTTAGTATTTTAATTTTTTCTTTTAAATATTTTTGGTTTTACTATTTTGTTATTTTATTTAATTTTGATATTTATTTACTATTTTTTTTGCTATTTTTTAAACTATTTTTTACTATTTTTTTAACTATTTTTTTTACTATTTTTTTACAATTTTTTTTACTATTTTTTTAACTATTTTTTTCCTTTTTTCGAGAAGTGTTGGATCCACACTTCAATTCTTTTTTTTATCTCAATGATTTGTTGTAGCGCGTGGAATTAGGAAAAGTTTTCTCCATTAAATGGAATACAACTTACCTTTTATGTTTTTAAAGGTTTACTTTGGTTTTTCGTTAGTTTACTTTTTCATTAATTTCTTGATGGGTTTGTTTACTTTCCTCTTTTTGTGCTTCCTTTTTTTTTTTATTTTTTAAAACTATTATATCCTTTTAGTTCTTCTATACTTTTTTTCAGTCATTATTTTTTACGTTCTAATTATATATTTTTAAAAATAATTTTAATAATTATTTTTTGCATATTTATTTATTTCAAAACTAAATGTAATTTAGTTTTTATAGATGTTAGGGAAAAAAAATTAATTTTTCCTTTTATTTGTTTTTTTTTTTTTTGAATATAAAATAATTATTTAATAATTAAAATTTTTCTTTTTCAGCTTCTGGATTATTTTGATGACTACAATACTGCAATGGCGTACAAAAATTCAGGTATGTTTTTCATTTTGTAGAAAGATTTTTAATTAAAAGATTTTTATTAGATTTTTTTTTAGCTGAAAATTAATATTTGAAAATTTTCGGGCAAATAATTACCCGAATTATTAATTATTAATTAATTATTAATTTTACAACTTGGAATGTAAATTTTTTGTAATTGATTAGAAAATTTACATTCAGTTTCTTGTTGTAGAAACTTTGGTTAAAACCCTTTTTTTATTCTTCTCTTTTTCTAATTGTTTGCCTATTTGTGCTATTCGCGATTTCTCGTCTGTATTGAAAAAAAAAGAAATTCTGATTAAAATGATATATGGAAAAAAATAGAATTCAGTATACCGAGTTTGTAAAACTTGATTGTCAGACTTTAATTTTTGACATTCGATTTGTGAATAAAAAGATTTATAACTGGATTTGGAATTGATGAATGGTTCGATAGATAGTGTTAACGAACCTGAAATAAAAAGGTAAAATTCTATCAACCATAATTGTTTTTTATATAATGTTTTTTTTTGTTTGTTTTTCTATTGGAAGAATTACATTCGCTTGAATTGAGTAAAATATTTTAATTTAATTTCTGACACATTTATATTGGCATTTTTTTTTTTTTTAATTAAAATCAAACATGTAGAAATATTGTAAATTGCCTTTTTTCCAATTGTGAATTATTTCCGAATTGTAAAGTATTTTTTGAACGTTATTAATTTTTGCATATATATTTTTCAAATAATTTTGTTCTCTCTTTTTAAAGATAATTTTGAAATTTATTTTTTAATTTGAAAAACATATTTTTTTTATTTTTATATTTTTGTTTGAATCAGAATTTTTTTTTATATATTTAAAATCGTACAGTTTTTTTTTTTAGTGTGAGAAAAAAAGTTTTGCACCCCTTGAGATATATCGTAAAAAGAATAAGGATAAGGTATTATTTTACTCCCTCTGGAAACACAAGAAAAAAAAGGCAGTAACTTAAAAAATGTCTCGTTTGATTTATGAATGCGTTCGCGAAAAAGCTGATTTTTGTAGAAAAAAAAAAATTAAAAAAAAAAAAAATTGAAGAGAATTGCTAAAGTGCCTCTATATAGTGCATGGTTCTGGAATTAATGCAAATTTCGCGAGTAACATTATTATAAATTGCTAATCGATATCTCTCCTCTTCGTCGACAAGAACAGCTGCCCATTCAAAATTAATGGGCCATTCGTATTCACAGGCTTCATGGCCAGCAAGTGTGTTTGTATAAACTTTATTTCAAATGCAATTTATTTATCTAAAAGCCAATTCACTACAATATATATATATATAAAGCTAATCTTTATTTATTTACAACTTACAAAAAAAGTAGAAAAAATTAATGTAAGAATAAAAAAATATTCTTTTGTCTCATTCATAATTTTTTACACTTTCGTATAAAAATATTCTATTACATAGTAAACATTTGGGTTATACATTTTTATAAACATTTTTTTTATTAAACAGTAAAAAAATGAAATTTTAGATTTCTTTTTTTGCAGTAAAAATTTTTATCTAATCATAATTTTTGGAATTTTTTTTTTTTCTAAAAATACATTTTTTTTTCTTAATGTTGTAATTTTTGTTTTCAAAATTGATAATGAATTTTATTTTTTTAGGAACCTAAAATTAAGTTTTCGTTAATTATCAAAAAGGCTTTTGATTCTATTTTGATTTTGATATTCTGAAATATCGAGTGTATAATATATATATATACTTTAAAATGTTACTTCATATATGACATCGCGCATTGCGGTTAAGGATTTAATATGATTTATGGCAATCGTTGGTAAAATCTCGAGAAAATCCGCGTGGGATATTTTCTCACCTTGACCTTGGCAAATGTTGTTGCTATCATTATACACATAAATTGCAACATTTTTTTTTTTTTTTTTAAAGTGATGCTGATAAATTTATTTACTTTTTTTCCATATTGAATAGAAATCAAAATAAAAGAAAATCGCCTCCTTTTTAATTTGTATCATAATCAATTGAAAATAATAGTCTAGAATTGAAACTGAATTTGTGACGCTATAAGAAAATTTATTTTTAGAAAAATAAAACTGATATTTTTTTGTAATTTTTGTTTTTTTAATGAAAAAAAAAGAAATAAAAATTCTAATTTTGTTTTATATATAATTTGGAAAAATATTAATGAGATGGTTTATATTTTTGTATAAATATAAAATTAATTACCTATATTATCAATTCTACTTTTTTTGCAAGTTGTATTAATATTCTATGCATTTAATATAATTATTAATCAACTAAATGAGATATAATCCAATTGGAATAAAATTAATTTATAAAAGCCAATATTGAACCTTACAATATTTTATGCTTTCAATTATCAATATAATCTTAATTACATTTTTTAATTAAGAATTTATGGAAACAAAATTTTTTTATTCTAAATTATTAATTAAAAATAGGTTTTAGATTCTTTGAATTATTTTTTTTTTCTAAGAAAATAAGTTTTTTGTTAATTAGTAATTGTTTTGTATAAATAATAATATTGCTAAACGTTTATATTTATTATTGTATAAAAATGAAGAAAAAAAAGTCTTGAAGAATCTGTCGAGAAAAATAGTTGAAAGTTTTAACAAAGAAAAATAGTTCTTCCTCCCTTTTTTTTTTTTCCTCGTCTCGTTTACACGAACCATTGATGGATTGTACGTTGAAAATTACACTGCGACACTTACTGAACACTAGAGATTAAGAACCAGATAAGAATGTTTAACTTGTACTACCAGAAATCTTTAGCACGAGATCTCACTTTGGAAGTGAGAAAAAAAAATTAAGAATTCTTCTAATATTTCCTATTTTCTTTTAATTATCTAATTTTTTTTTCTTGAATTATTTATAACTATTTAATTCTAATTATTTCCTGTAATTAATTATTTACAATTATTTATAATTATTTATAATTATTTATTATAATTTATAATAAATAATTATTTATAATCATTAGAATTTATAAATAATTTATAATCTATTAATGTAATTACAATAAATTAAATATTTATTTTAATTATATTAATGAAGAAATTAAATTGTAAAAAAATATTACTTGAAAAAAAAAATGTTTGCACTCTATATAAAATTAATGAAGTTAATTAAGATAAAAAATGAACGCAGGATTTTGAGTGAATATGATTTTATCCTGTGAACATTATTACAGATAATAATAATAATAATAATAAAGACCTTTGCCTTATTAGGAATTGCATATTAATCACCGGGTTTCTCTTCTGTAATTAAATTCCTACTGAGAATTTCAATTTGCTTTATTTTACGAAATATGTTTCCCATATAGAAGACATATATTTCGCGTACGTAATATTTAATGAGGGAAATTGCAATGTAAATATCTCTTACATTATCAGGAATATTATCGTACATTCTCTGGTTCTCTAAATTCGAATTTTCTCATTTTCTAAAATAAACTGATATAATATTTTTTTCAAAAAAAAATATTTTTCAGATTTTTTTTAATGGAATTAATTTTTATTAATTAATTTGAATTTTTTTACTTCGAAAAGGAGTAGAATTTTAATCTTTTTTTTTAAACAAATTTTTACTAAACAATAATTGACAAGTAAAAATTTTCTATGTTGCATACAAATGAAAATTAGTGTCATTTTTGAAGGTTAAAACTCTGCTATTGACTCTTTTGAAATCGATTCTCATCCCCTTGTCCTCTTCCCACCACACGCCCTTTGTCCTTGGAATAAGTCTCGACCTTCCTTTTGCTCAATCTCGCTCGTTTTGCCCGCTAATTTCCCAGGGTCACTTATCTTCTTGGAGTCACTATTCCTCCGGAAATGACCTCATAAAATGACTGAAACGACACTTGTAGTCTGGTGATATTGACAAAAATCCTTTCCCAAGTTTTGCTTTCAAAAACCGGAAGTCACTTAACTCTTAACGAAAGTTACGCTAGGTCAAATTGAGATATTTATAAAATTTTTGTTTTGTACTACAAAAATTGCATTTTTATTGTTTATTATAAATTTTAATTTTTTTTTATTTGATAGTTTTTTTTAAATAGTTTTATTTTGTTGATTTTTTTATTTCACTTTCAGCTTGTTTATGAATTGGCAAATTTTTTTTTAAAGATTGTGTTAATATTTATGATATTTCACTGTTAGTTTATTGTCAGTAGTAGAATATAGTTTCAGTCAGACGGTCGAATTTTAGTAAAGGACAGTTTTATTATCAGTAGTATAACTTAATTTTAGTCAGACATTTTTTTTTACTTTAGTGGTAATAGAAAGTTTTAGTCAGACTTGTGCAATTGTAAATTTACTATGAGTAGTTAAGGTCAATTTTAGTCAGACGTTCCTAATTACTCGAATTTTAGTATCAGTAGTATAACTCAATTTTAGTCAGACTTATTTTTTTTTACTTTAGTGGTAATAGAAAGTTTTAGTCAGACTTGTGCAATTGTAAATTTACTATGAGTAGTTAAGGTCAATTTTAGTCAGAAGTTCCCAATTAATCGAATTTTAGTATCAGTAGTATAACTCAATTTTAGTCAGACATATTTTTTTTACCTCAGTGGTAATAGAAAGTTTTAGTCAGACGTTGCCAATTAATTGAATTTTAATATCAGTAGTATAAACCACTTTTAGTCAGACATATTTTTTTTACTTTAGTGGTAATAGAAAGTTTTAGTCAGACTTGTGCAATTGTAAATTTACTATGAGTAGTTAAGGTCAATTTTAGTCAGACGTTCCCAATTACTCGAATTTTAGTATCAGTAGTATAACTCAATTTTAGTCAGACATAATTTTTTTTACCTCAGTGGTAATAGAAAGTTTTAGTCAGACGTTGCCAATTAATTGAATTTTAATATTAGTAGTAGAAACCAATTTTAGTCAGACATATTTTTTTCTAATTTTTTGGAATTAGTATTGAATTCAGTTTAAGATAGACTTTACCCAATGAAAATAATTTTATCATTTAGTAGTTGAAGTCAGTTTTA